AGCCAACAATGGCTGCACTTACAAAGCCAACAGTGGCTGGGTTGGTGAAAGCCCACAATGGCTGGAATGGCAGAGCCAACACTGGCTAGATTGGGTGAAGCTAGAAATGGCTGGAATAACAAAGCCAACAGTGGCTAGGTTGGGGCAAGCCAACAATGGCTGGAATGACAGGGTCAACAGTGGCTAGTTTTGGGGAAAGCAAGCAATGCCATCACACTACCCACCCAAAGCTTGCCAGTATGGCATGCAAACACTGGCTGCGTGCAAGAAAAGTGTGGAAGGCACATGCTCCAAGATACGTGACAATGAAGGAATAAGATGCAGGAGTCCTGGTTGTCACCCTGGTGGTCTCCCCAAGCGCTTTCTTGAGGCTGGTCTTCCTGGTTGACAGCAAGTGGCAGCAACTTAAGCTTGCACATGGCGAGTTGGCTTGCCTCCCACTCCTCCCACTGGCGCCAATTGGACCAGCCCTCCTGCAACCAGCTCTCTTGCTTCCATCTTCTCCAGGATTCCTCAGACTGCCAGCTCTCCTGTGCAATGGGGCAAAGCAAGCTGGAAAATGAGGAGTGTGCCAACTGCCTTGTCCTCATCATGCTTGGCCCAGTCTTCCTGCCACCAGAAGCTATACAAGCTGTCATTCAGCCTTCAACCTTGCCAGGTCACCTCTTTTTGTGGTGCAGCCCATTCCTGCACAAGAAGGTGCAATTCTTTTAGGGTTGCCCCAAACAGCAAGCTTCTGCAAGTGTCAAGCCACACAGGGGCTGCCTCCCCTCCATAGACAGCTTCTTCACAAGCTTCCTGGCAGAAAATGAAAGCTGCAAAGCTGGCCAACCAGAATCAAACAAATGTTCTGCTGCCCTGCCTGGCCCTCTTGGCTAGCCTGGCAGCCAAGTACAACATAAATGCCCAACAAGTTCCAGATAAAAAGGTAAGCATTGCAGCCTCATCTTTTGCCACAACCTGCCAGCATTGGTGCAAACAAACCAATCTGCTCAGCCACAAGGCTTGCCTGATACCATTGAACAGGCGAATCCTTGTTAAGCAACCCTCCATGCCCCGAACAAGCCTCAAGGCTAATGAAGGGGAATGTTACACAAGCAAGAATGCAACTCAGCCATGCAAGCCATAAGCACACCTGCACAGAAACCAGTTCCACCCAAACACAAACCTGGCCTGCAGGTAATCTGGTGGCAAGTCTTCTTCTCGCGTCTGAAAAGCAGGGAGGATCACCAACAACTCAAAGGTGCTTGAGTCAGGCCCCCACCCTTTTGACAAGGCCCTGGAAGGACATGTCTTCCTCCTGAACACAAGTGGGGGCAATTGCAAGACTGCTGTGTTTGAAGCCCTGCCTCTGCTTCACAAGCCCTCTTCATGGCTGATTGAATCGGAAAAAAGCTGCAAACCATGTGCATGAGAGCAAAGCAGCAGCCCAACATGAACACCCATCTCATGCTTAGCATGTCAAAATGTGTGTGAAAGAAGCAGCCAACAAGGGCTCTATAGCAACCAATGCTGTCAAGCCAAAGCAGCCACATGGGCTGGGAACCCTTTCAACAGTGCACGCTGTATATATATATATATATATTATTTATAGCAAAGCCCAACCTGAAGCCCATGTGCATCAAAACAAAGACAACAGGATCTTGCTTAGCATGGCACAAAGCAGGAAGCGCAGCCCACTGGCTATGACAATAAGGTAACACAGCCCAAAGGCTACATGCTTATCATGGAACAAAAAGAAGTAACACAGCCCACAGGCTGCTGATCATGACAAACAGAAAGGGAACACAGCCCAAAGGCTACTGCTTTATCATAGAACAAACAAAGTAACACAGCCCAAAGGCTACTACTCACCATGGCTAGCAAAAGATAACACAGCACAAGGCTACTGCTTATCATGGAACAAACAAGGCAACACAGCCCCAAGGCTATACTGACTACCATGGCACAAAAAAAGGCAACACAGCCCACAGGCTACTGCTTATCATGACAAACAGAAAGGCAACACAGCCCAAAGGCTACTGCTTATCATGGAGCAAGAAAGATAACACAGCCCACAGGCTACTGCTTACCATGCCACAGAGAAAGGAAACAGCCCAAAGGCTACTGCCTTATCATGGAACAAACAAAGTAACACAGCCCAAAGGCTACTGCTTACCACGGCACACAAAAGATAACACAGCCCAAGGGCTACAGCTTATCATGAACAAAAAGCAACACAGCCCACAGGCTAGTGAATAACACTGCACAAAAAGAGGCAACACAGCCCATAGGCTATTGCTTATCAGGGCAGAGCTGCTGGCTTCACAAGCACAAAGTTAATACCCAAAGTTTGCCACACATGTGCACAGCTGTGCACCAAGCACGGCCCCATGCAAGGCACCAAAGTCTGCGTAGCACAAGTGTGTCACAAGGGAGTGCTGCAGCCCAAAGGCTTGACCAGCCCCAAGGCTTGAACAGCCCTAAGGCTTGGACAGACCAAAGGTTTGATCACTTTGCATGCAACAGTTACATTGCGGCCCACAAGTTTCAACCTGCACCTTTTCCATTGGCTGATGTGCTCAGTCTTTTCTGTATTTGCCAGTCAAATTATAAGACCTTTTGGTGGCAGTCGCCTCTTGGTCAATATCACCAGATCGCAGGTGCATCAAAGTGGCATACAACATGTCCTTGTCCAACTGCACCATGAGGTCAGAAATGCATGCCCTCTTGGCTGGGCACAAGATTGACACAGGCACACCAGCCACATTGACTTGCACAATCTGCTCCTTGAAGCAAACCTTCCTTTTCTTGTTGGCATGGCCATCTTCTTCTCCACCAAACAAGCTTGCAGAGCTTGCTTGCCCAGACTGCTCAAGCAATGCATTGTTCCTCATGGCTTTGAGGTCAGTGAGCTTCTGCAAGTTGGACAATGAAGCATTTCTCACAGACTTGCCACAAACCAAATGCACCGCTGCAGGGCTGGTAGGCCGCAACTTGAGATACTGCCTGCCCAAAGAGTCCTGCAGGCAGCCATTTACAAAGTGGCTTGCTGGAAGGCATTTTTTTGCAACTTGCATGTCAGTCCTCCACTATCAGCTCATCAGGGATTGCTACAGGCCGCCCTTCATCAACTGTGATCTCCACCCTGTGGGTGATGGTCAAAGGCATTGCGCATAATCTTTGAGCCAGCTCATGAAAGCAGGGCCAATGGGTTCCAACAGCTGCTACACTCAGCCATGTGGCTCCAAGTTTCAAATGTCAGCTTAGCCACAGGGGCTTGCCAGGATAGCTGGGATGTGCGCACTGCATGTCTGCAACAGCATGGAAGCTCCTTGCAGGCCCACAAGCCAGCATCCTCCCAATGGCTGACTACAAAGGCATGCTCTGCATGATAGCTGCCAAAGCAAGCTGCTCGCAAGCTTTGCCTAACTGAAATGAACATGCACTCCAACAGCAGTTTTTGCAACACCTCAAGTGTATAACTTCAGCTGAAAAAGATAGCTAACTGTTAGCTAACTTTCTTAATTGCTTGGCTAAGTGGTTAAGATAAAATAACACATTTATGATAGTTAACTAACAGTTACATTTGTTAGCTAAGCTTGTTAAGCATCTTAAAAAGTTAGACAGCTTATAAGAGGTTAAGACACACTTAACATATGGTTAGGATACCATTAACAAGCTGTTGGCTAAAGCTCTTAAGGCTGATAATGTGTTACTAAAGCCACAGCCCATCTAAGTGTGCGTGTGTGCGTGTGTGCGTGTGTGCGTGTGTGCGTGTGTGCGTGTGTGCGTGTGTGTGCGTGTGTGTGTGTGTGTGTGTGGGGGTGCGTGCGTGCGTGCGTGCGTGCGTGCGTGGGTGTGTGTGTGTGTGTGTTTGTGCTTGTGCGTGTGCGTGTGTGTGTGTGCGCGTGTGCGTGTGCGTGTGCGTGTGCGTGCGTGTGCGCGTGCGCTTGCGCGCGTATGTGCGTGTGGGTGTGTGTATATATATATATATACAGTATATGTGTGTGTGCGTGTGTGCGTGTGCCTATGTGTGTGTGTGGGTGCGTGTGGGTGTTGGTGTGCGTGTGCGTGTGCGTGTGCGTGTGCGTGTGGGTGTGTGTGTCTGTGTCTGTGTGTGTGTGCGTGCGCGTGTGCACGTGCGCGTGCGCGTGCGTGTGCGTGTGTGCGTGTGTGCGTGTGCGCGTGTGTGCGTGTGTGCGAGCATGCGTGCGTGCGTGTGCGCGTGCGTGCCTGTGTGCGTGTGTGCGTGTGTGTGCGTGTTTGCGTGTGTGCGTGCGTGCATGTGTGTGTGTGTGTGTGCGTGTGTGCCTGTGTGTGTGTGTGTGTGCGTGTGTTTGTGTTTGTGTGTGTGCCTGTGCCTGTGCCCGTGCCTGTGCCCGTGCCCGTGCCCGCACCCGTGCACGTGCCCGCGGGCGTGTGTCTGTGTGTGTGTGTGTGTGTGCGTGTGCGTGCGCGTGCGTGCACGTGTGCGTGTGCGTGTGCGTGTGCGTGTGCGTTGCGTGTGCGTGTGCGTGTGCGTGCGCGTGTGCGTGTGCGTGTGTGTGTGTGTGGTGTGTGTGGTGTGTGGTGTGTGTGTGTGTGTGCGGTGTGTGTGTGTGTGTGCGGTGTGTGTGTGTGTGTGGTGTGTGTGGTGTGTGTGTGTGTGGGTGTGTGTGTGTGTTTGTGTCTGTGTGTCTGTGTGTTTGTGTTGTTTTGTTTGTGTTGTGTTTGTTTTTGTTGTTGTTTTTGTTTTTGGCTTTTGGTTTTGTTTTTGTGTTTGCGCGTGTGCGTTGCGCAGTTGAGAATTTGTCAGTGTTTTGGTCTGCGTGTGTATTGCTTGTCTGTCTCGCTCTCTCTCTCTCTCTCTCGTGTGTTTCAAAATTGATCAAGACCGACCCCGCAGCCACACACTTGACAGCGTTCCTTCGTTCTAGATAGACCCTGCCGGCAGACTTGGGCGCATCAACCGGAAAGGTCCTTGAGGATCCTCCGCACAATCAGATGCATGCTTTGCCTATGCCCAGATGGCATTGCAGGATGGAGTCCTCCTTTCTGACTACAAGCTGGACGACATTAGGGCCAAGGCTGACATCAAGCCATTTGGCCTGCACGTGGTTGCATGCCCTATCCGCAAATCCAGTAGGGAGCGGGCCACCACCAATGAGTGGAATTGTTGAAGTCGTTTCGGTGTGATTGCCAATGGTTGGTTTCCTTTCGGTGTCCCATCCAAGTTATTTGACATCCATGCGGTTGTGGGCAAGGTTTTGAAGACACTTGCTCTGATTGCCTCCTTGCTTGCCGAGCCAACCAACATGCATTTGGCCTGGACTTGACATGTCCGGCGCACAAATGGAGCCGCTAAAGACGGCATCTCACAGCTGTCGCAGAGCTATAAGCGCCACTTTCCACCAGGAGAGTACAGATGGCCGTAGCATGTCTCGGACCCACAACTAGTCACATATTTGGTTGCCTGCTAGTGACCACTCGAAATGGCCGTCAAGTTGATCCAATTCAAATCATGTTGTTTGTGTGTTTTGGCATTTCAAAGGTCATCATGCCCTAGAAAACGTTTTTGAAAGTGACTGGATACTCATTGGACGCGCTTGAATGGGAGAAGGGAACAAGTGCTCAAGCCATTGTAGCAGGGTAAGACCGTTCACAAACTACTTAAATTCCAAGTGGGTCAAGTTACCACTGCTTTGTGTTGCACCTGGCCGAATGTGCGCCGAAGCTGAGTCGCTGCGTTATTGCGACTTGTGCTTGCCAGCTGTAGATGGTTGGCCAAACATGACGTTGACAACTGAAGTGGAGTTAGCGAACAGTACTGAAATGACTGAAATGGCATGGCGCAGCTCAGCGCTGTTTGGTCTTCGATTGTGTTCATACAATAGCCAAATGAAGCATGCTTTCGTACCATTTCTATTTGCAGCTCCACTTTTGAATCACACACTCTGGCTATTAACTTGCAACTTTGGCATACTGGCTGTGACATGATCTTAGTTTTTGTGCCACTTCCGCCAAACCGAGGAACGGACCTTTTGGAGGTGGCACTGCCTGAAGTGTGGTGCAATCGGTTTTCCACGCCCATCTTTTGCTTCGGTCGGAGTGGCAACAAAATCGTTCGCAACTCTTTTCGGCCTGTGCACTGGGCAATCTCTAGACTGCCTCAGGAAGCGCCGCGAGGTCATTGTCATAGCACAGCTTCCACTTGAATAAGCAACAACATATAGAGGCGTAGTTTTTGCAATTGTTTTTCTTCTGGATGTTGTTCTTTTCCTCGGGGCTGGCTGGCTTGCTGTTGTTGGGTTTGTTTGTGCGGCTTTTGGCGAATGCTGTGGCTTGGCTTTCCACTTCAGCATCACCTGCAACACCCTCAGCATCACAGGCCCACACACACACACACACCAACCGGCCCTGCCGTTCTCAGCTGCTTGAAAAGCAAACCCAAAGTGGCTTGTTAGTGGCTTTTCGACCCCAAACCCACCCTGCACCTGCACCACAACGAAACCTACCCACAATCAACCTGAAGCCACCGTAAGCAAGCCTAGACCCACCCGAGCCAGCCGTAAAGCCAACCCCAAGCCCACCCCAAACACTAAACCATCCCTCCCGAAACCCAGCCTAAACCCACCCTACTAATCCAGCCCTAAACCAACGCTAAACCAACACTAAACAACCCTAAGCAAACTTGGCAAACCAACTCTGAACCCACCCCAAACCCGCCCCTATATAAGCAAACTCTACAACAACCCTACACCCACCTTAAGCAAAACTTCCCTAAACCGGCACTAAACCATCCCTAAACCTACCCAAAACCTACCCAAAGCCGGACCTAAACCCACGCCTAAGCCCAAGCCCCCTACACCCGCGAAAGAAGCCCTCGGGAAACCTCAAGCCTAAATCAACCCTTAACCCACCTCCCTAAGCCAACCCACTCGAAACCAAGCCCTAGCCCACCCTAAACCAGCTAAGCCAACCCTAAACCTTTCCTATACTCACCCCAGGCCAACCTAAACCTGCCCAAACCCATCCTAAACAAGCCTTACACACACCCCAAACTCAGCCTAAACCAAAGCTTTTGGTGATGCCGGGGTGTTGCAATGACGCTGGGGAAGCATGAAAAACGGTTCTGGGGATGTTGGCGGTACCGTTGTAAAACACGTGCATTTCGATAGAACCCGCTGCAGGTACTTATAATACAGCTTTTTAGTGCCCAGGAGCGAGAACAGTCAAAAACCAATGAACAAGCACAAAGCAAATCCTAGATTGAACCTCCACCCATTATGTATGCGATTTGCCAGAATTGATCAGAAGAAGGGCATCCAGCTTCGAGAGGATGTTGAGCAAAAATGGATGGCGTTTGGTTGTTGTTGATCCCCTGCTGGGCATGGGCGATGAATGAATTTCCCCCAGAAGCAATACAGCCGTGTTAAAGCCGTGGCTCATGGGCTAGAGTTTCGGACACCTTGACAGCATGAGCGTTTTCCTGCGAGCTGTGCCGAGACGGACATTGCAGCCTCGACCTGGGCCATACAGCCTTGTACTCGAAACGCCTTGCGGCAATTGCAGACACTCCCAGACTGCCAGAAGTCCATGTGGGGCTCCTAACTTTTAAACGTGTTGTAGACAGTGTGGCAGTTTAAGGAAAAGAGATGGAAAGAGTCATGGGATCTTCGAGGACTGGCTCACTCACATTCACATGCATTGCTTGTCATCGCGAACTGGAAGTTACAGAAAAGATCGAACGGTGGCCAAAAGGCCGGGCATGCACTTAGCACGCGCGTGTGTGCAAGCGGCTTTGCCGCACTGTGGCTGCCATGAAAGTACGTGGCGTTGTTGCTTCCTGTAAGGCCCGGCATCTAATCGGCAGCAATGAAAAGCAACTACTATGTCGATCCTGATGCTTTTCGGAATGCTGCACTCAGTCAAACAACACGTCGACCCATGCTCGCCCTTGCCAGTCCTGCAAAGTCATTCCTGCGGACCAAAGCACATGGACAAAGCCTATTTGCACGGTTGAACCTCAGGTTCAGGCATTGCAGCGTTGAATTCATTGGCGATTGCTCAGCATAGTTTCCATGTCGGAATGGAGTTCACTCGCTCCGTCCATGTTCTGCGGGGACGGGCAATACGTGGGCGACGGCGGCGCCGCATTGGAGCGGCTGTGGGCCGGTCTTCGCTGGCGGGAGATCCGCAACTGCCCCGGCCGGCGCCTCAATCTGGCCACTCCGGATCGTGGCTCGGAGTGCGAGGTATGGGTTCCAGAGACTGTCCGTCCTTTATGCGCAAGCGAGACATGCCGCATTTGAATGGCGAGCTGTTGATTGGTATCACGTGACACGTTTCAATGGCTTGAGGTGATCCATGAAAATCAATGGAGTTTGCGTCAGAACCCTAATGATGATGAATTGATTGGACACTCGCACACCATGTGCGCCTGGGCGCGTTTTGGGATGGCAATGCCGCAAATGTTATAATGCGAGGTCTCCTGCCAGGCAGACAGTTCGTTTGTTTGTCACAGTTTTGATTTGTTGCTTCACGAGTGATGGCCTGTGCGTTTGCGTGTGGGCTGTGTTTTGTTTTTGATAATATAAATATATATATATACGGATATATACATATATATATATATATGTATATATATATATTGCCTTTTTGCATTTTCGTGTCGTTATTTGTTCCGGTTTTGCTGACGTGATTGCTCGCTGGCTGGCTTGCTTTGTTTGTTTGTTTGTTTGTTTGTTTGTTTGTTTGTCCGTTAATGAGCTTGCATTCGTGCTTGCTTGCTTTCGACTTCGCTTGCTTGCTTGCTTGCTTGCCTGCCTGCCTGCCTGCCTGCCTGCCTGCCTGCCTGCCTGCCTGCTGGCTGGCTGGCTGGCTGGCTGGCTGGCTTGCCTGCTTGCTTGTTTCTGATTGTTGGTTTGATTGGCCGAGTTTGACCGGCTGGCGGATTGAGTTGATTGGATCGGATCTGGGGTAGTTACAATGAGCTCCGCCGAGGTACGAGGCAAATAACATGATTTAACGAGGCATGACCCGAGGTAAGCACGCAGAAAACGTATTGGGCCAAGTAGCAGTTTCTGCAAAGTGTTCTTGGAACACTATGGAGAAAGGCGGCGGCAAAGACCGCCGCAAACAGTCCAATCTTTGCCGGCCAGCAAGACTGCGAGCAGATCATGGGAAGGGGAAAGACTGGGGAGCTGTCTGGACCACCCTCAAAGCCTGGCAGCGTCGTGTCCAGGCATCGGCCTGACTCACTCCACGCGGTCGCACAAGCAGAGGCTGCGCAACGCTTGCTTCAATCCAGCCGCCCTCTTCTCCCCCCGTATCTTGGCAGCGTCACTGCTGACTTTCAGCAAAGACGGCCCAAAGTGCGCCGGGCTGACATTCTGGAGTGTCTTTACCGAACTGGACACCTTCCCCCGCAGTACTCCCACAGACCAGAAGAGTGCGGGAAAAGGATTCGCAACGGGGAGTGTTTCGGCACTTGCCGGCAAGGCGCTATGTCAGCTTAGTAAAGTCGCAAACGGGGTGACGAGGTGAGACATATTGCAAACTGCGCAGACTGATTGATTTGACTTGATTTGGTTGGTTGGTTGGTTGGATTGGTTGAATCATTGGTTGGTTGATGGGTTGATTATTCGAATTGAACTGAGTTGAGTTGAATCGATCAATTCAACTTTTTTAGTGCTCTGAGCTGAGATGAATTGAGCTGAACTGAGTTGAGTTACTGAACTATTCTGAATTGAGCCGAATTGAATGGAACGGTTGACTGTTTGACTTGTTGATCGATTGATTGGTTTGACTCATCGCTGCCGCTGGGGCGGTAGTACTTCTCCACCCTCAGACGAAGCCGAATTCGGAAGACACACTTGCCCGCGAAGACGAATTCCCGAAGCTGAGTTTCATCCCGAAGCCGCACGGCGCCGCCCCGAAGACAAATTGCGATTCCCAAGACGAAATTCCACCCGAAGACGAACTGCCAAGACGAATTCGCCGAAGCCGAGCTTTCTCCCAAAGCCGAATTCCGCCCGAAGACGAATTGCGAAGACGAATTCCCCGAAGGCTGGGATGTTGACAGATTCTGTGGCGCTGGAGTACGGCGTCAGCCAGGAGTGTGGCGTCAGAATGCGGCGTCAAACGCGGCGCCGTGCGGCGGGAATGCGGGGGCTGTGGTGTCAGGGAACGCGGAGTCGCAGATTTTTGGGACGCGGGCGGCATCAGAACTCGAATTCAGCATCAGGTGGAAAAGCGCTGATTGCTTGACTGGCTGGCTGGCTGACTGACTGACTGACTGACTGATTGGCTGATTGATTGATTGGTTGATTGATTGGTTGGTTGGTTGGTTGATTGATTGTTTGGCTGGTGGGTTTGATAGGTTGGTTGGTGGTTGGTTGGTTGGTTGGGGTTGGTTGGTTGGTTGGTTGATTGGTTGGTTGATTGGTTCATTTGTTTAATGACTTTTGACTGACTGGTTTGTTGATGTATTTGATGTTTGTTTGGGTTTGGTTGGCTTGGATTGCATTGATTTCGATTGATTTGGCTTGTTTGGGTATTTGATGATTATATTTGACATTTTCTGGTGGCTAGAACCAACCAACCAATCAACCAATCAACCCGCCAACCAACCAATCAACCAATCAACCCACCAACCAACCAACCAAACAACTAACCAATCAACCAATCAACCAATCAACCAATCAACCAATCAACCAATCAACCAATCCATCAATCCATCAATCCATCAATCCATCAATCCATCAATCCATCAATCCATCAATCCATCAATCCATCAATTCATCAATCAATCAATCAATCAATCAAATAAAATAAATCAATCAAATCAATCAATCCAATCCAATCCAATCCAATCCAATCCAATCCAATCCAATCCAATCCAATCCAATCCAACGAAACCAAACCAAACCAAATCATATCAAGTCAAGAAACCAACCAAACAACCAGTCAATCAACCAACCAAGCAATCCAACCAACCAACCAACCAGCCAACCAGCCAACCAATCAGTCAATCAACCAACCAACCAGCCAAACAATCAACCAATCAATCAACCAACCAACCAGCCAACCAACCAATCAACCAATCAGCCAACCAATCAACCAACCAGTCAATCAGTCAATCAGTCAATCAGTCAATTAATCAATCAATCAATGAATCAATCAATCAATCAACCAATCAAACCAAGCAGCCATGCAAATGTGCGATGCGCGCAAATCTGCACTGCCTACGCGGGGGCTCAGATAGCTCGAGGCGCAAGCAGAAAAACGCTGATGGCCTAGACGGCTAAGATTCAATCAAAGGACGCCTCAACGCGCAATTGCTCATCTGCCAACCAGCCAGGCCTTTCCCTAAAAAAAGAAACAGCCCCCATAGGCCGAAAGCGTCTAGACTTTCACCAGCCCATTTGTTGGAAGACCTGTCTTAGGAAGCCTTTCTTGATCCACAGATCATTCAGAATGCCTCAGCCCATGGACACCTGTGCCGAGAAATGAGCCCAGAAAGAACCTTAAACAGCACAACAAAAGCAGCGAGACACAGCTAGCGCTACAGCGCTCTTGAGACGGGAGCCCTGCCGTCGGCGGGGTAGCGCCCAGAACTGCTGCCACAGGCTCTGTAGGAGGGTGCGGATATGTGCGGATGTATTTTGGGATTGTTTCGTTTTTTGGGGATGGTGTCTTTTTCGTCTTGGCCAGTAAAAGGTTGTATTTTGCAGCATTTTCTCGCAAAATTGGCGCATTTTACACTAGCCCATCAGCATCCCCAGCATCGTTTTCAACATCCCCCGCATGTCCCTCCAACATCCCCACTATTATTCAATCTCTGCAAAAATTGAAAAGTAGCGGCGCGGAACTCGATGATGTTCGAAGAAGTGATGATTCAAATACGGGTGCAATTCAGCTTCCCGTATGATGTTCGAAGAAGTGCATACATACAGACATACATACATAGATTGCATACAATGTCGTATTTTACAGCATTTTCTCGCGAAATTGGATGTTCAAGCAGGCGATGATTCAAATAGGGGTGCAAGTAAATGTCTTCAGTAGCCGGGGGGTTGGGGGGGGGGGCGGCAGCCCCCAAAATGTTTGAAGAAGTGATGATTCACATAGGGGTGCAAAGATTCAAGCATGGGTGTGGTAGAATATAAGAAGCAGCGGAGGACCCGACTGAGTGATTGGTTTGATTGTTTGATTGGTTGGTTGATTGATTTGCTGGTTGACTAATTAGTTTATTTGATTGGTTTGGTGGACTCGCTGATTGATTGGTTGATTAATTGGTTGATTAATTGGTTGATTGATTGATTGACTGATTGGTTGGTTGCTCGATCGATCGATCGATTGGTTGACTGACTGACTGACTGACTGATTGACTGATTGGTTGGTTGATTGATTGATTGATTGATTGATTGATTGATTCAGGGATTGATTGGTTGATTGGTTGATTGATTGATTGATTTGATTGATTGATTGATTGATTTGATTGATTCATTGATTGATTGATTGATTGGTTGATTGATTGGTTGGTTGGTTGATTGATTGATTTATTGATTGGTTGATTGGTTGATTGATTGATTTGATTGATTCATTGATTGATTGATTGATTGATTGATTGATTGATTGATTGGTTGATTGATGGATTGATTCATTGATTCATTGGTTCATTGATTCGTTGATTCATGGATTCATTGATTCATTGGTTGATTCCTTGATTGATTGGTTGGTTGACAGATTGGTTGGTTGATTGATTGACTGACTGGTTGGTTGCCAATGTATGTCGGATGTTTGTCAATGTGGGTCGATGTTGGCCGAGTGTGTTAGTGTTTGCGATTTGCTGATGTTCAGCTTGTTTGCTCATTCGCTTGCTCGCTTGTCGCGTGTCCATGCTTGTCTATTGTTGGATGAGGCCGCTACACCACGCCTGACAAGGAGGCAGGAGGCAAAGGGGCTAGTGGGATTCATTTGCGAGGTTCACAACTTACGGCCTCTCAATGTTGGCGGTGCGAAACGGCGCTAGAGTCTGTGATGGGCCCAGAACTTGCAATGTTTGAGTGCCATGAGTTGACTTCAGCGTGCCCGCCCACTGCTTGGATTCCCTGCCAAGAGAACGCGAGAACCTCCTGTTTGCAGTGTTCTGCTTACTTGGGAGATCCCCCGTTCTCGCATCCTAATGGGGATGTAAAATAAGGCCTAGCTGAACATGTTGTGACGCGTCGCGAAGGCGAGGGAGCTGAACCCCTCGCAGCTCTTGCGAAAGCTCGGCCTGGATCAGCTGGAGCCATTGATGCTCAGACTGCCTGGCAAGGAGAGACGACGGGCGATCTGTGAAGCCAAACCCTTTAAATGAGTGGTTTCCTTGAGAAGTTTTCCTTGCAAGTTTTTTAGGTGTCCGCTGTTGACTGAATTGATTGCAAAACCAAGGCTTTCCCGAACGGACGAGTCTTTTGCCGATTCTCGGGGGATCCTTCACGCAGTCCAAGGTGAGAGTTTCTTTGTCAGCAAAAGTTCAGTCCGTAACGTACCCCGCCCGAACGCAGACAGAAACCGGCGCTGATACTGACAACCGCTACCACGGCCAGTTGCGGCATGAAGTGCATTGTCAGTAGAGCCGGCGAAGTTTCAAACGCAGAAGAGCTATGGTGTTTTCCCTCTTTCTCTTCTTCTTCTTCTTCTCTGTCAAAATCTTTCTCTTCCTCTTTCTTTTCCTCTTGCTCTTCCTCTTTCTCTTCCTTTTGCTCTTCCTCTTTTGCTTGCTCTTTCTCTCATCTTTCTTCTTTGTATTCTTTATCTATCTACCTAATCTCACGATCTCGCTATCCAGCTATCTCGAGCAGGAGGAGCAATCCGAAGTGTAGGCAGGGGGTGAAGAAGAGATCCAGGTGGCCCGGCTTTGGGTTCAGGAGCAGGGTCATCCACCTTGGCGATATCCGGCAAACGTTGCCAAATTGTGTCTGTCTTGACAATCTTAGCACCCTCGCCTCTATTCGCGGGTTATAAACCCCGAAGAAAGCCTCTAGAAGGCTAGCTTTTGAGATCACCAGCGATCTTGCGGCAGCTAGTCGTTGGTCACCGTGCGAGCAGCAAGCAGCAGCTCGGTCGGTTGCCGCGGAAGGGTGAGTACGCAAGCGGCGCCATCTCCAGGGAAAGTGAAGAGGAGGGGGTGTAGGAAGCGCGGCGCAATCAATCTCCGGTCACACGCTATTTGCTACAGCTGCAGTCGCATTCGCGATCTTCAAGTGACTCCCCGAACTCAGCGAGGGACGGAAGCAGCGCGAAGACCGAAGCAAGAAGAAACGACACAGGGTAACGGGGTATGTCAGCCACAGGAGTGGCTCTCGTCATTTCGCGAGGTGATTGTAAGCCCCCTTTCGAAATATGGAGCCAAGGGGGGCTACTGCGGATTTCGCTGTTCCTTGAGCGCGGATAGCTTGGTAGTGTTGTGAGCTTCACTCAATAAGTCACGCCTGGCCTATTTTTTGCTCGAGGCTCAAGGATGAATGTGCCCGCCTCGGTAGCTCGCTCACTGCTGGAGGCATTTTATCGTGAAGTGATCCGACTTGAGTAGGACTAGCAGGATCAGTTCATCTCGCATACAGCATTTTCAACATGTACAGCTTGGCTAAACAACGCTTCCGACAGGACCCCATCCTCATGGTGCGCCTTGTCGGAGGTGGCGGACTGCTGAGCTACCTCAAGGTGAGCCCTTCGAGCCGGGAGATGTCGTTCCAAAGGATCGCTCAGATGTGGCAGGTTCTGCGGCGTTCTTTTGTTTCAATTTGCTGATGCACGCTTCCGCAGTGACCCGACATATTCGTGGGAACTGGGAAACAGTTCATGTCCGGTTGTACCAGGTATTACAGAATTCTGGATATCCACTCTAAGAAAACCCGGCTGGATGCTTTGTGGTGCCTTTGTTTGCGAAGCAGAACTCCTTGGCTTAATCCGGCCACCTGCTTGTGGCTAGTTGTTCAAGAAAGACAGAGGTCTTCCGACGGCTTTAGAGATTCTGACATGACATCCGACGTGCGCTCGGCTGGGAGTCGGATAAAGCGTCAGCGATGCTAACTCAATTGGTTTGCGCTTGCATCCCCGATGGGCTGGGACAAAGCACGTATCGTCTTTTGGGCACAGCATGGCTGCCTGCGACTGCGCACGCACGTTTGGAGGTTGCGGGTATGGTTGTACGGGTACTGTGAGGTTTGGTCGCGATTTGTGAATGCGTGTGTGGGTGGGTTTGCATGCGGTTTTGGGTTTGCGGACGTGCATTTGTATGTTTCTGCAAGATATGCCGAGCCAAGTTGCGGCAAAACTGAAGCGTCAAGAAACATTCGTTGCAGACTTCTTGTTGACGCTGAAAGGGCCGCACTCCAAGGCCTTTCGGCCACAGAGCGGCATGCATTTGGGGGGGTGTCAATCATGCGGACCATTTTCGGCACCCTCATGTTGGCCCTCCTTACGTGGAGCCACAGAATTGTGGATGCCTGCAACTTGTTGTTTGCCAGCATTTAAGGGTGGTTGTTCATACCCTGGTTTGTATCCCTTGTTTCGCCTTCATTCGCGGCACGAACGCCCGGGCAGGGCGGGAGCCTTTTCGTGCACACCTTCAACACGGAGAGTGGGCTGATCCGAAAGGTGGATGCGCTGCAGTGGCCCGACTCTGAATTGCGCAGACTACTGGAGCCGGAGAGTCGCAGCTGTGCCGCTCGGATGCGTTGGTTACAAGTGGGTGTTCCAGGAAAGAGAGATCACAGCAAATGATTGGGTTCAATTGAACATTCCAATGTGCCCTTCATTGAGACCATCAGTGGATTGCCTAGGTTTTGGTAGATTGCAGGACGAGTCTTGTTGCCAACTTGCAATTTGTACGGTTTCAAGAACTGAGTTCAACTAATGTGTATTTTATGTGCATAGTTTATGGAGTGATGCTGAGGGTGTTGAAAAGAATGCTGGGGATGTCTTTGCCTGGATGTTGACAAGGCCGGTGCAAGGCGAGTACATGTTGTTAGACAATGACGTTAAATACATCATTTCAGCACCCGAAGTGAACGCAAGCAACAATCCGGAAAGAAGAAGGCAAAACCATGAATATCGGCCCATATTTGACATATGTTCATATAATGTATATGTATGGTTGTAATTGTGTTTTATTTCTGTTTGTAATTGGATTTGGGATTGCATTCGCATTTGCACACATGGCAAATGATCGGTAGAAGTAAGCACATAAGTATGGGTATACACAAATGCATGAGTATGTACGAAAGGGGGCACACATGTGTCCATTATCGTAAACAAGTGTCGCTCCTTGTTTTGCCCCGTGTCAAAACTCATGACATGGACGTGGGCCCCTTGCCGTGTATTTTACAAAGGTCGCGTTGTTTCACAAGAATGCTCATCCTAACCAGCAGTTCTGGCCTTGGAACAGATAGCGCGCCAAGCTCCAGAATGATGCCCTTTCGCCCTGCTAGGCCGAGGCATTTCGGGGATGCCTGGCAGTGCTGCCCTTCCTGCTGGACTCAGAGAAGTGACCTGCCATTAGAAGGATTGGATTGGGAGAGCAGGGGCTGACACAGGGCCACCCGGGTGTGGCAGCGCGTGAGATGACCTTTTCTGTCACGCGTTTCAGTTCTTGAGCGGCAGCGTGTTTACCAAAGCCTACTGCTCCCTGCAGCCTTCCAACAAGCCAAATGCTTCAGCTGCGAATTGCTGAGGGTTGATTCTTGGCTCTTCACTTGATTGCACCCAGATAGCATTGTGTGGTCTGAGGACCTTTGTGCCTTCCTCAATAAGTGTTGTGCAGACGGAGAAAATTGGACCGTTCGAATCTCCTGCACCATGGGTGATCTACTGGAAGAGGCAGTTATGGGGATGCTGCGTGTTACCCCTGCCATCTCAAATGTAGTCTCGTGATGAAGATGGAATTCTGTTGCAGCTCGTTGATTGGAGGCACATGATCAACAATCCCCCCTCCCCCTCCTCAACGTCGACAAGGTCCCGGAATTCCATTTGGAGGGTTTTCCTGGCCCCCTCAGGCCAATAGGACTGCAATAGGAAAGTAAATGAACTGGTTTTTTTTCCAGTGCTGGAGAGGGCCAGGATCAATCGGAGGGGGTTTTACTTGGAGAGGGGCTAGCCTTGAAGGGGGGCCAACCTTGAAGGGGGTACCCTTTACGAGCTTGTCACATTTTGTTTGTTTGTAGTAAGAGCGTTGCAGTTTCTGGCCAGCCGTTTTGTCAAAACAAAATTCTGGAATGGCTACGAAAGGAATCAGTATTGGCAAAAGTATTGGCAACAGTTTTAGTAACTTTTACATTGGGCGTCTTTCATCAGAGGCAGTTTATGAATCACGTGCGGACATTGCAAGCCCTGCACCGTTTTCCCGCGAGGAACTCGTCGGCCAACGTGCTGGTCCGAGCCTTCAGGGCGGCTGATGGGGAAAAGCCCCGAACCAACGTCGGAGAAGCGAGCTGCAAAACCACAGGCAGTGAGAGCCGTTTTGGCACACCCTGCCATGTCCGACATGAGGGGATGTCGAAGGGTCTGTCATAGCAAAACTCACAGCTGCGATACATGAAGAACAAAGAAGATGTGTTTATTTGCGCACATGACATCCTACTCTCAGTTTGACTTACGAATTGTATGTTTGGTAATGATGCAGGTTTTAGCACATACAGGAAATGTCATGTTTGCATCTTAGGAGTTGCCGAGACGCATTTCAGTTGGCATGCCTTGCCTGCTTTCTGCCTGATTCAGATCAAGGCTACAAACCCTTAGCCTTGACTCCGTCACCGAAACCGGATCCGCCTCAGCACAAAATAGACAACCTGACAAGCGCCACCTTTTCTCGAAGACATGCAGTCAGTCACCTGTCACAAGCAAATCGTGAACTGATTCAGAATCAATGCGGTGTGCAGCGGCGCTGCTGCCATGGCTTGCAGTTTGCGCAAGAGCTACTTGATCAGCACTGTATACCCACACATCATGTCATTTCTGGTTTGCCTTACAAAACTTGGTTGCGTGACGACCGCCAAGTTGGCGGCATGCCATTCCTGTAGCTTGTTGCCTGCTGTCTGTCAAAGACATCTTGTGTGCGTTCTGGATCGCAGAGTGCACTTCTCAACCTGATGGCTGAATTTTACACATCCCAGCTTTATAAAGCCTGCAAGATGCCAAATTGCAGAGTACAAGAAAGATTGCCCTCAGCCCTGGCTGATCCATGGCCAGTCCGCAGAATGCCTCTTTCTGCCACGATCTGAGGCTGAGACCGTCGTCAGTTCCCAAATCATCCACTGCGATGATGCCAACGACTGCGAAGATGCAAGCAGCTTGGCTGACTTCCCACAGGGCTCACATCTTGGAGCTACCGGCGACCCTCGGTTGGTCTGCATGGAGAAGGGAGCACCTTCAGACACGGGCAACGCTGCAAGGAGGCATGGAGGAGAATGGAGCAGGCTGATGTCGCGTTGCGACGTCATCCTATTTGGCGGATGTCCGGCCAAACCAAGATCCTGCTTGCATGTGAAGCTTATGAGACCTCACATCCCCCAATAGATGCATCCTGCCCTTAAGCAATGTATTCAAGTAGTGATTCAAGAACACGTACCCTGGATTGCCCTGTGAAACGCACTTTGGGATGTGTCGCCTTGGGATTGGGTAGCAGGACCTTAGTGCAAACAGTGGCATGTTTGGACCTGCCATAGGTTGAATGGCTCACATCAAGTACGGACAACTTATTTTGCAGATGCAGAGTCTTTGGCCTGGTTGTTTGCGTGGGTTGTGGGATCGACCGCTGTGCAGACATGGTGAACATGGCTGTACGGCTAGCACATGACTGAGGGTAATTGCACGTGGCTCCTTTGGAAATTGGATAGCTCGGTCGGAAGCTTGACACGCACGATATCGAAAGCCCTTTCGCCAGGATGAGCCATGTGTGAGCCGGAAAGGTCGCACCTGAGATGAGGGCAGTGCTTTCAAGTATCACAGGCTGAGAGCCTTTTGTTGAGGAAAGCATCTTGGGCATTTGACACCCTTTGGCCACCCAGGCAACATGCTGCTGCTGCAAGTGTCCTTGCAATTGAATACGCCACTTGGTGGCTGCAAGGCTTTTGGCCCGGGCGCACTGATTTGTGTGGTCACGAAGCTTGCCGACCTAACACATGTTACCCACTAAGATTACGTTGCTCTCTAGAGTTTTAGCTTGTGGAGATGCAGGATGTTCTGCTTTGGGGCCCCCAAGTTAACCTCCTTCTACCAGATGCCTCACAACGCCGAGGTCCAAGGCTGAAGCTCCTACCCACCACGCAGATACCAAGAGGCAGGGGCTGGGACGCTTGTGTCTGCCTGTTTGCCTGCCTGCCAGCCTTTCTGCTTGTTTGCTTGTCTGCTTGTCTGCTCTTTGTTTGTCGACGGGCCTGTGTGCCTGTCTGCCTGTCTGTTTGTCTGCCTTTCTGTCTGCTTGCCTGTCTGACTTGTTTGTCTTTCTGTTTGCCCGTCCGACTGCCTGCCTGCCTGTTTGTCAGTAAATTTGCCTTTCTGCCTGCCTGTCGGCCTGCTTGCCTGTGGTGTGTGACTGTTGATTGGTGGTGGGCTGTATCCGATGTGTATGTACTTGGAGGACCGCAGGGGTTAAGCGTTTGTTCGTATTGGTTTCCATGACCTAGAACGACAGTTACGCGTTTTGTGTATTCTTGACAGATCCCCGCAGCCCACTCAAAACGTACCTGCGTGCTATAGTTGATGAGAAGAGCTTGTGATCCTGAATCTCAGTGGAGGAAAGCTCCCAAAGTCGGCAAGTTAAAGTACTAGGAGAGTCGCTTGGCTGCCTACCCGTTGGTCAAAAGTCAAATGGTGGCATGGCGCGCCACGCCCACTCCAATTCTCAAGTTGCGCCGCAATGCTAATTGCGAAAGACTGCTGCGGAGAAAGTATAGATGGTGGTTCCTTGACAGCCTATGACGCAAACACCTTGCAACAACTCTGTTGAAGCACATGTGCGTCAAAGCTAAAGCATGTCATGTGCTTCTTGCTGTATCATAGTTTAAGACTTGTTACTGAGCTTTATCATTCGAACGGATATGCAGAAGGGCACAACTCCATCATGCTCCTTTCAGAACGACCTGCAGGCACTTGGGTGACTGTTCGGAACGCGATCATACATTCAGGGGACCCTAAACGTGCTCTTTAAACGGATTCCAGCTCGCACCAGAGGACAGTCGCCGGCGACTTGCAAGAGCTCCTCGGATGGCAAGTCAAGTTGGGTGGCCTGAGAGAGAACCTGACGACGTGTTATGCAAGTTGTGCTTTAAGCAACTTTCAGCTGTGTCGAGCACCGCAGGAGGGCTACTGAGCAATCTAGGTTCTAACCGATGATTGCTCCCGGGCCAAGCCGCTGCCTGATCGGACACCTCTCTTCCAAACCATTGAAGGAGTACACATGTGTATGTGTGCACCCTTCCTCGGCTTGCACTGCAAGGGAATTGCCTGGCGGCATCCTAGCCAACCAAGTAGTCGTCATTGATTTGGCAAACCAAGTACTGTATCACTTTACTCGGGCGCGCATCGATGTCCACTTCACTCGGTTTCTGATTTAGGGGCCAGGCGGGCGTGATCTGCAGGCTGGACTTGCGCCAGTTGCGCTCGGAGATGGGCCAAGTGCTGGGAGAGAGCCAGCTGGATGTCAAGCTCGCCGCGGTGGTGATCGTGTGCCTCGGGACGCAATGAGCGGAACCAGATGTAACCAGTTCGCCAGTTCGCCGGTGGCCCGTTGGCCCATGGCGAACCGAAAGAGCGTCCCACATGGCCCCTGTGAGGCGAATGGGCATCCCGGCAAACAGGTTGGTGACTTATCGTGAGTTGTTTTTGCTTGTGACTGGTGAGGGGCGTTGCCTTTTGGCGTGAAATTCTGAACGCCCCGACCTGGGCTTCGACTCCGGGCTGTTTTCTTTCCTGTGGCTCAGGGGTATCACGGTATCGGGCTACTTCGCCAAGGGTTTGGGATTGACGACGCTGGGGTATTCTCCATCTCATGGCTACAGCCATGGCACTTGTGTGAGCATGGCCACCTGAATTCTGTTTTAGAGTGTTCAGAAGGGAAGGTGAATGAAATGTCTGTTGAACCTGTTGGACCCAGATGCCTGAGGGCAGTTGTGCCTGTTCTTGAGTGTTGAAGGTGTGGCCTACCGATTCCCCAACGCCCTGAGTGCAGCAGGATGCTCAGTGAATGCCTAGCTGTTGGGCACTGTGTGTTGGCATCTCTTGGGACTATTGTTGTTGCTAGTTGGTACTGTGCTGCACTAGCTCACATGCAAGACGCTGGTTGCTGTTGTCCTGACATTCTGCGGCCACTTTGCACCGCTGAAAGGGCAAGGCGTGTTTTTCCCCAAATTCTCGTTGGATCATTGGGCCTGGATGTTAAACGTGAACTCTCCGTTTTGGATTGCTTGGAGAATCAACTAAAGCTGCTCCTGAGGGCCCTGGGACTCTGGATTTGGAAACCTCAATTGTGCTTCATTCCTTTGGGCAGTGGCTGCTGTCTCTGCTTTTTGTTCGAGCCAGGGTCACCGTGGCCATGACGCTTTGGTTCCTCCGTAGCAGCGCAGACTCTGCCGGGCAAGGCGGGGGTGAGGGGACGACGCTGATCTGAGAGGTGTCATTTTGTCAGAGTCAGCCACATCTCCGGCTAACAGCATGTGGAGTATGGGGATGAGTGTTGGCAGATGCCAGGATTGGCATGCCTGTGACTGTTTTAGATGTGACAGGAGTTCCAAGATATGACAAGTGGCTCCTGTCTTTCGGGGACCGGCCCAGCCGTAGAGTAGGATCACTAAGGCACAGGCGCCGACGGGGGATGTGAGCAAGCTGGGTTGGACCCCTTGTTACTACCAAGAAATCGTGGATATTTAGAGAGGTCTGATTGTTGTTAATGTGTCCAACTCATTGAAGGGACCCGCCTTGGGTGTTCTGGTCTTTCCAGAAGGGCGCGATGCTGACCCCTTTTGCTGAATGGTTGCCATCCACCCTTGACCAGAGGTTGGACAACAATGAATCAGATGAGCCTCGCTGTATTTTCCGCATGAAGGTTTGTATATATAGTGCATATACATATGTGTATCATGTCACCACATTTGGCCAGGGTGCGCGAAAACGCTGTGATATAATAGGGCCCCGCAAAAAACGATATTTGTCCGGTCATCAGAAAAACAATGCCCGTTTGAAAGGACACGAAAGCTGAACCGCAAATTTAGGACAACGCGCCCCGTATCCATACATTGGCATGCGTGTCCTATGGATGCCCCTTTGCAGATGGACCTTTCACATTCATCATGAGGTCCGTGTCAAAGCTGTCCATGCGACCCCGCGCTTTTCGCGCAGGTGTGGCCAGTGATGAGGCAACGGACCGCACAAGTGGCACTGTCCTGAAACTGTCTCTTTGCTGGACAAAGATTCGCAGCAATCTGGGGTATGTTTGGATTGAAGGGCCACACAAAGCTTTGTCGCGTGAGTTGCAGAGAATCGGAACTTGAACAGTTTGCACACACAATGTCACCTTGGATCAATCAGCAAAAGCAGCTGTGTGCAAGATGACCCAATAATGGACAAGATGGCAGGGAGGTTGCCTCCCCATTAGCTGTTTCTCGTGTTGCAATCTTGTGGAAGTTGTCAGCCAAGGGTCAACAGGCAAGTGACACTGTGCAGGCGTCGTTCTTTGCTTGCTACTTCATCGTTTTCATGGCATCTTGGGCCGCATTGGCCCAAGCTCAAGCTGCCCTCTCACAGTCTGAAGTCTTTGTTACCGTTCCCTGCATTGTGTTTTGATGGCTTGCGTGACTGCTTGCTTGCGGCTGATTGAATGTTTTTAATGAGTTGTTTCTTCCCCAACAGCTGAAAGCTCTGGGGTCTCAGCCCAGATAGGCTCCGGGGTGGTCCGGGGCGGCGCTGAGGTAAGGTTTTACGAGGGTTCCACGAGGTTCTGCGAGGGCTGCGGGGTGGTGCGAGCGCTAAAAAGAGCACCGCATGCTGTTGGGGATATCACCTGATCTTATTTTGTTCGTTGATAAGTTGATGACTTGCTGCTTGCGTAGCTCTTGTTGTGCAGTGGGTTGGTTAATTTAGAAAATGGTGGCTGGCTTGCTGGCCGAGTGGCTTGCTGACCGGCTGGCTTGCTGGCTGGCTGGGAGTGCTGACGGCTGGCTTGCTTGCATGCTTTTTGCAGGGTTGCGAGGCTTGTTAGTTGGTTGCAGTTGCATTCTGCCGAGCTGACCATTGCCATTTTAGACCTTTGTGGCATGTTGGCGACTTTATAGGCTTCCACTTGTTTGTTTGTTTGTTTGTTTGTTTGTTTGTTTGTTTGTTTGTTTGTCCTCTCCTGTCCAGCAAAGATTGATTGAATCTCATTCTGAAGCTGGCCCAGCTCTCAGAGTTACCCCTTCTTTGCTCGGAGAGCCTTGCTCAGCTGGGCTAATCCGCCTTTCAAGTGGTGCTGCCGCTCCTTTGCCGTTGTTTGCTTCAGACATCGCTGACGGTGCTCGCTGGATTTGCCGGTTCAAGATGCACTTTATATCCGACTTGCCTCCGTAGCCATTTTGGCTCAAGCCGTTTCTGCTCACATCCGTGTAGCGAGACACCTCCGTGCTGGAGCAATGACGAGCAGGCGCCGAAGTGCCATCGACACGTTTCTGGGGTCGGCTCCGCCTGACAGGCCATAGACAGAAGTGAAAGCGCCTAAGGTGACACCCCTTACTGGAGGCGACCGCATTGCGGAGGCTGCTGGGAATGCCAAGCATCGCGCTTCATCTTGCAGGCCTGAACTCAGCGGTGGCGCGGAGATGCTCACGGTCCCAGCCGACCTGATTGTGGTCAAGACCAAGGAGTCTAGGCCAGGGGAAGCCCAACCAGGACATGCATCAACCCTTCGTATGTCGTCCTCCTGGGCCTGGTCTCGCAGCTCAGTACCCCTGACGGCGATGCCCTGACTTTGCTCTACATCGCAACGATGATCTTCACAAGCGTCATCCCGTCTGGTCGACTCCACCAACCTACGCGCAGCGTTGTCTGACCCCGTCCCGTTCAGGTCTGACACCCTGGAGCATGCAGCCGAAGACTGCATGCATGGGGCTGGTTGCTGTGCTCATCTGCTACGCCTGCCTGACACACGAAGGTGAACCCGGAAGTGATGGTCTTTGTCAAGGAAGAGCTGGGCTACGCCAACATACCAGCAGTCACCCCAGAGTTCATACGGGCTTCCCAGGTGATACCCAAGAAAGGGCAGCTGGCTCCGCTCCTCAACTTTGCCCTGCAGTCGGGACTTGGCAGCTATCTGGGTGAAGGAGGATTCAGTTATGCAAACTGGGTTCCTCCGCTTGAGTGTGTCTGGAAGTTGCGTGGAGGAGTGCCCATTGCTCCGCCAACCATCGACATCGACCCGGGATCTGTGCCGCGCCGGCTCATCTCCCGCACCTACAGTTCCTTGTTGAGGACCGGCGCCACACGTGCCTCGAAGCTTTCCACAATGCAAAGAGGGCTATCCAAGAACTCATCACCAAGCACCCCATGCCCACGACTGACAAGGAGCTGTACGGCATTCTGAGTCTGTCTGTCTCTTTCCGGATGGCGGACATTGACACTGCGGCAGGCATCGCGATACATGTGTATCTGTGAAGGCGCCTTCATCTCGGACTGGCAGCATGCAAAATTCGATCTTGCCAAGCAAGGGATGTGCCAAGTCTGCCAGGAACCGGATACCCAGATGCACTGGCTGCAATGTCCCAAGTACGCCGAGCTCAGGGCATCTCGTCCTGAAATCAGCAGTTGGTCGCGTATATTGCCGTACAGTTTTTTGCACCATTTGCTTGTCCCGGGGTCGCCGGATGCGAAGCTTTTGGGGCGACTGCTGGTGGATATACCTCGGGCGGCGGCCATTTTTCATTCGGAGCCATCAGCAGGGGCACAGCACCTTTTCACCGATGGCAGCAGCCGAGCACTCCAAGGCAGCAGCCTCAGTACAGCCTCTTGGGCAGTGGTCAATGCATCCACAGGCGGAATCGTATCAGGCGGCCATCTCGCAAACAATCAGCAGAGCAGAAATTCAAGCGGTTATTACGGCATGTTTGTGGGTGCAACATTATGGATGCACCGCTTGCATACGGAGCGACTCCTTGAATACGGTACGTGCTGCCAAATCATTCATGGCCGGCCAGAATACGTGCAGTATCGTCGACAACCACGACCTCCAGCAGGACCTCTTCGACATTCTTGGACAGCTCGACGCTGATCAGGTATGTTTCAACTGGATCCCATCACGCCTTGATCCGACCCTGTGCGAGACGGAGGTTGAAGAAGGGGGCGGGACCTAGAACGGCGTCGTTGACCACGCGGCCGTTCTCTTGAATGACCGGAGGAGTTCATCTTTCTGGACGATATTCGAATGCGAGCAACAACGACAAATCGAATGGAAGCGCATCTTGAATTCGTTTCGCCCTTTTTACTTGGAGGTCGCAGAGCAGAGGCGGGCTGTACCGCGCACTGACAATCTCGAGGCGACCGAACCTGAAGTATTTGCAGCTGGGAACGAATTTGCTGACAGTGACGGCTTTCTGGAACTACTTCCAATCAATTGGCGCACGCATGCCCCAACCGGAACTAATTCGGATGGCAGCTTTTTGATCTGCTGAGCAATTGGGATGACAATTCGGAGGTATCTGCTCTGCTTTCTTTTATCGAGCCCACTCTGCTTTTGGCATGTGAGCCTGGGTTCAGCGTCCACAACATACAGCAAGTGGAACTCGATTGCAGGGCCGTGGCCGCATTGGTACGCTTTATCACCTGCGGCACTTGCCACGTACTGCCGCTCTTCAGCCTGGATCGTTTTCTCTTGACTGGGCTGGACAGGACGGCGTTTCATATCTTTAAGCCGGTCAACGGCCTTTGCATCCGACTTACAAACAGTCGGAGGGACCAGGCACGACGCCTGGGTCTCAACTTCACATGCCAGCGGGGTATCCGCAAAGCGGCGGACCTCGCGAAGCCATGTAGATAGGCCGCAGGGCCAGACAGACTCGAGCACCGCACCGCATTGCTGTGCGTGCTCGACCGCAAGGTTCGCGCTATATCCGACTTGCCTGTTGAATCTGAAGGCTGATTAGATTTGCTTCATTCGACCGCTGAGCCTCGAGCATCAGGATGCCTTTGGCTTCGGCATCTTCGCGCCCTTTGTGCCTGTTCTGGCAAAGACCTTTGGCATGAACGCGCGGAGCGTTGCAGGAGAGGGCGGGAGATCAATGGGGCTAAACATTTTCTCGATCTGATAAGCTTGAGTTGGAGCTTGCTGCTTGCCGCCCAACAGCATTGGTCATGACAATTAAGAAGGTATGCTGCAGACGCTTTTTTTGTGGGAGAGGAACATAGTTGCGAATTGTTCCGGCCTGTTCTTTTCAGTTGAACCACCAGCAAGCTGTCAACTACTACTTGCTGGTGATGGCCATTCCGATATGACGGCTAATGAGTGAATCAGTTCAAGATGTTGGTCCGGAAAGCAGTTCAACTTGTTGACTAGAAGACCTCCTCTACCAGGTGTTTGTGTTTGCGGTTGTGTACCTTGTCTAAGCTGCTTCTTGTTTTTGCGAACCTTGCCGATTAGGGTACCCTTGAGGGCCTGACTGCCGCGAGAACTTTCAATTGGCCCCCCGCCCCTGCACCCATGAACTTGCGGTTTTTTTGTTCATTTGGACCTGGTCCAAGTGTGGGCCGTTAACGGCTAGCCGCGTGAAACTGTGCAAGGGGGCCGTAGTGGGCCCGTCATGTAGACGCTTCTTTTGGATTCAGACACAATCCACATTTGCCAGTTTGGTGTTCTTTGCGCGGGACAATCCTCATTTTTTTCATCCAAGTTCAATATTACAAATGCAGAAGGAAACCTTTGTGGTCTGCTTGAAGAGTAGCTCCTTCTCCGCGGGCACTGATCTGAGTAGGTTTGCTGACGGCCTTCTCCTTTGCGCAGGCGCAGGGTGTTTAAGGCGCAGGCCTAGTTAACAGTGATACAGCAGTTGAAGCGAGTACTTATTTGCAGAGATAGCTTCGTTCTTGTCAAGGTTTTTCCTCACATTCAGATGACGTTGTGACCGGCAGGTTGAACAATGGCTTGCGGAACCACTTTATGTGTGCAGAGCTCGCACGGTATCATTCTGCATTCTTCGGGCACTATGCTTTGTTTGCATGTGTCCAAGTACGTGTTCTGTTCATTGCAGTCATTTGGAATTTCCTGCGAGAGACACACTGCTCATTGAAAAATAGCCTGCAATGGAGCACAGGTGGCTCGATAGCGCTGCTTTTTGCCCTTGCGTTGGCCTTTGTGCGGGTGGTGAAGCATGTCATGGAAGACAATAAGATCTTTACTTCCACGGTGTTTTGTTTGATTTACCCAACAAGTATTGAACTCTTCAGTTTGGGCATCCCATGGCAATGCTTCTCAATTTGGGGCTCGCTGCGCACAGGCTTTCAACACGCCAGTCTTCGGCTACTTGTCGGACCGCATCGGCAGACGGAAGGCTGCGGCCTGTGAATGGCCACTGGACATCAGTTTCACCCAACATGTGATTTCTTGAGGTTGTTGTGTTTGCGGCAACTTGTCAAATGAGCCATGACCAATCATGGATTCAGGGCACCTGCTGACCGCACCGGCCATGACGTGCCAATGGTTTTATTTTTGGCCTCTGGTGCTGGCCTGAAACCCTGAATCACGTGCCAGGTGCTGCTGATTGCTGTGGGCGGCGAGGCATTTGGGCTGCCATGATGCTGACAGGTTTTCCAAAACACCAAGGTCCGGAAATATAGCCCCAACAGTTTGGTGAGGTCACCCGTCAAGCAAGGGTTCGACATGTTGCTTTTGGATGCAGCAAACTCATTGTCAAGGTGTCACGTGCCACACGCTGCTAGTGGTTGGTGTGAGACGGGCGTAGTGCAGACATGTCATGTTTGTGTCGTGTGCTATCGTGTGTTGGCAGGTTGAGTTTGCATTCGTAAGGCGAGGTGGAGATGACGGCTGTGATGTCCCTGTGGCCAGTGCCACTATTTGTAGCTTACTAGGGTTTCAACTTGTGGGTGACAAGTCTTGATTTCGCTGGTGCTCGTGCTTCTTGCTGCGTGTCTCAGATACTTGATGGTTGGTGCATTTGCATGTTCACCATTCCGATCGCCAGAGGTCTTGCAAGTGTTAGCCATCGACTGGCTTGGGGTTCAGCAAAGCGGAGTCCCCTCAACTTGCATCTTAGCTGACCCCTTCGGGACCAGTTTCGGCATTCGTTTTGTGCCGCAGAAAGCCTTGAGGTCCTTGCCTACACTGTGCTGAGCTGCGCAAGGACGGGAGGTTAGCGGTGAATGTGAATAGGGTGCGCTGTTCATTGGAGACATCTATTTGCCTGATTTATGATGAGCTGACATACGGCAAAAGACGAGCGCATGCACACAAGGGACCTTTCACAGGGAGTTCTTGATTTCAGGTGTTGGATTTGTACTCTACCGCATCATGTGAAGGATCCACTTCTTCAGGGGTGGAATAAGGACACGTTGCAGCTTGCCAGTGATTGCCAGTGCGGCCCTTGCGGGTTTTCTTGCGGGTCCCTTGCGGTCTTTCGCACTTCTTGCAGTCTTCACCATGACTTTCTTGTCCTTGCCGATGACATGGCGCTAAGTGGGGAGGACGTGAGCTGACAACATTGCCTGTCTACTGTTGGTTTTGGGGAGGGGAGAGCAATAGTTACCCAACTCCACCACAAACAGTTTGCACTTTGTCCAGCCTATGTTGAGAACCAGTGCTTTTGTCTGTCATGTTGTCTGCGCCTAAGCCCCCTTGTGTCTGGAGGACCGGCCTGTCCAAAGAAATTGGCTTTCCACTGGCCGCATCCAGTGTGAAGGGCTGCTAATCATTTCTGCCTCGTTTTGGTGCCGCCTTTTAAAAGTGTCACAAAAAAAGGGGGCACCATTGTGATTGTGAACCACCAATATGAGTACTGTAGTATGGGTGTCTTTTTCAAAGGCAGACCAGAAGGAAACCACCTATGGGTCCACCAGTTGAGAGGACCTTCACTGGGCTTTTGATGGGCTACGCTGTGGCCGGCGCTGCCTCGGCCACGCATCTCGTCTTGTGCCAAGCAAAATTCGTTGGAACTCCCACGCTAACATCTGAAGTAGTGGGGGACGGAGTGCGCGCGTGGAGATGATATTTTAACGCCTCCGGCTCAGGCCGCCGACATTACAGGCCTGCTTTCTTATTTGCGTTTCTTTGGAATTGTCCCCTTGCCCCCCTTCCCCTCTGAGATCTTTCCCCCCCTTTCCCTGTTGAGAACCTTTCCCCCTTTCCCCCCTAAAACCTTTTCCCCCCCTGAGATCTTCTCCCTTTTCCTCCCTAACATGTTTTCCCCCCTTTCGCTGTTGAGATCCTTTCCTTTCCCCCCTACGGCCTTTTCCACCCTGAGATCTTCTCCCTTTTCCTCCCTAAGATCTTTTCCAACCTTTCCCTTTCCCCCCTGTCCCCCCGAAGGCCTTTTCCCACCATGAGTTCTTCTCCCTTTTCCTCCCTACGATCTTTTCCCCCCTTTCCCGCTTAAGATCCTTTCCCCCGTTTCCCTCCTCCCTACTTTCCCTGTTGTTGAGATGCTTTCAAGGCCTTTTCAGGTCTTCTCCCTTTTCCTCCCTAAGATGTTTTCCCCCCTTTCCCTGTTGAGATCCTTCCCACCCTTTCCCCCCTTAGGCCTTTCCCTCCCTGAGAGCTTCTCCCTTTTCCTCCCTAAGATGTTTTCCCCCCTTTCCCTGTTGGCCTTTTTTCCCCCAGATCTTCTCCCTTTCCTCCCTAAGATCTTTTGCCCCCTTTCCCTGTTGAGATCCGTTCCCCCCCTTTCCCCCCTAAGGCCTTCCCCCCCTGAGATCTTTTTCCTTCCTAAGATCTTTTGCCACCTTTCCCTGTTGAGATCCTTTCCCCCGTTTCCCCCCTAAGGCCTTTTTTCCCCCCCGGGATCTTCTCCCTTTTCCTTCCTAAGATCTTTCCCCCCCTTTCCCTGTTGAGATCCTTTCCCCCCCTTTCCCCTCTAAGGCATTTTCCCCCCAAGACTCCCGAAGATGTTTTCCCCCCTTTCCCTGTTGAGATCCTTTCCCCCCCTTTCCCCCCTAAGGCCTTTCCAGATCTTCTCCCTTTTCCTCCCTAAGACCTGTTTCCCCCTTTCCCTGTTGGCTGTTTTTCCCCCCAGATCTTCTCCCTTTTTCCCTAAGATCTTTCCCCCCCTTTCCCTGTTGAGATCCGTTCCCCCCTTTCCCCCCTAAGGCCTTTCCGCCCCTGAGATCTTTTTCCTTCCTAAGATCTTTTGCCACCTTTCCCTGTTGAGATCCTTTCCCCCCTTTCCCCCCTAAGGCCTTTTTTTCTCCCCGGGATCTTCTCCCTTTTCCTTCCTAACATATTTTCCCCCTTTCCCTGTTGAGATCCTTTCTCCCCCCTTTCCCCCCTAAGGCCTTGTCCCCCCAAGATCTTCTTCCTTTTCCTCCCTAAGATGTTTCCCCCCTTTTCCTGTTGAGATGCTTTCCCCCCTTTCCCCCCTAAAGCCTTTCCCTTCCTCAGATCTTCTCCCTTTTCCTCGCCAAGATCTTTTCCCCCGGTTGAGATTCTTTCCTGCTGTTAGTGCCCCCACAAATAAGTGCAACACAGATAATCTGCCGACAACAGGCGGCCTGTTGGACAACTCCTTACCTCTTTACCTGTTACTGTACCCCTCCCCTTACCCCTCCCTCAGGGGCACGGTTTCAGACCATTGCGGGGGGGGGGGGGTCCACGTGGCACGCGGTGATTCCAAGACGTTCCACTAAATCCTTTCTTTTAGGGGCTGTGCGGAACACAGTTGCGTAAACACATTGGGGTGATCGATTCCCCCCGGTTGGTGCAAAAAGAAAAAACCTCAGAGCCGCGTGCAGAAAAGCCGACTGCATAGAGCCGAGTGCACAGAGCCAAGTGCATAGAGCCAAATTAATTTATCGAACTGGTACCTCGTTTCAAGCAAACCTTCCTTCAATGGTATGATTGAATACCCACGCTTTTGCATCCTTAGCACCTCCTGGGCAACATCGCCAGCATCGATGCGGATGATGCAAGTGATGCTGGGGATGTTGCCCATGCTGGTGAAGGAACATCTGGAAATGAAGGAAAATGCATGGAAATGAATGACATGAAGTGAAATGAAAGAGAAAGGGAACAAAAACAGACATAAAGGGACATGAGCCGAAGTGAAGGAAAGTGAAGGGAAATGAAGATCTTCGGGGGAAAGGGGGGAAGGGAAAGATCTTGGGGGGGAAAGGCCTTAGGAAAAAAAAAGAGAAAAGGACCTCAACAGGAAAGGGGGGAAAAGATCTTAGGAAGGAAAAGGGAGAAGATCTTGGTGGGCAAAGGCCTTAGGAGGGAAAGGGGGGGAAAGGATCTCAACAGGGAAAGGGGGCAAAGGATCTTAGGGAGGAAAATGGAGAAGATCTGAAAAGGCCTTAAGGGGGGAAAGGGGGGGAAAGGATCCCAACAGGGACAGGGAGAAAAGATCTCAACCGGGGGCAAAGATCTTGGGGAGGAAAAGGGAGAAGATCTGAGGAAGGGAAAGGTTTTAGGGGGGAAAGGGGGGAAGGATCTCAACAGGGAAAGGGGGGAAAACATGTTAGGGAGGAAAGGAAGAAGATCTTGGGGGGGAAAAGGCCTTAGGGGGGAAGGGGGGGGGGAAGGATCTCAACAGGGAAAGAGGGGAAAACATCTTAGGGAGGAAAAGGAAGAAGATCTTGGGGGGAAAAGGCCTTAGGGGGGAAAGGGGGAAAGGATAGAAAGGTAAGAAGATCTCAGGGGGAGAAAAGGCCTTAAGATCTCAAGGGGGGGCAAGGCCTCAGGGGGGAAAGGGGGAAAGGATCTCAACAGGGAAAGGGGGCAAAGGATCTTAGGGAGGAAAAGGGAGAAGATCTGAAAAGGCCTTAAGGGGGGAAAGGGGGGGAAAGGATCTCAACAGGGACAGGGAGAAAAGATCCTAGGGAGGAAGATCTCGGGGGGAAAGGGTGAAACTGCAAAAAAGGTGGAGGAGGCCGTACTTGTGGCATGTTCTACAGATGATGCTGGCTCAAGACGAAGGCGACATAATATCTACGAGCAGGGGGGGGGAGCCACGTGAATGGAGAATTGTCGAACAAAGGAACGAACCAATTCAGAATGAGACTCTTTTGCCATAGTCTCAGGATGTCCCAGGTAAGCTATAGTGCAAAGAATCTGAGGTTGGATTTTGACCACAACACTCAGGGAACATTGCCCAGACGATATGACAGTTCTGAGCGTATTTGTCGATACACATGTGTGATTCCCACCATATTTGAAGCCTGAGAAGAGCTTCTCCCAATGAAAGAATAATCTTCCATATATGCATGTATTAACTGTTCCGTCCTGCCCACCGACACACTTTGGAAAAGTGGTCTGAACTGCAATGCGACTGACTACAAACTAAGTATGCCGCCCGACCTCAACATGAAGCAACTTACGTGAAGGATCTTCACCCAATAGAGCTATACTCTACATGATGTTGAATCGAACATGCCGAAACTTGCATCTCATGGGTTGAAACATGCCCTAAGCACATTCCCAACAGGTGCCAACTCCATACCCTTCACAGCAACGCAGAAAGGAATGATGTTAGGGCATGGTGTTGGAGCAATTTTGTTGACACTAATGAAGATTGAGAGCATACCAACTCCGAGCCCCAAGGCCTAAGGATTCAATTGCCAAATACCTGCAAAGTTCACGCGAAGCACGCCACAACGCACGGGTGAGTGAAGACGCCAGAGAAACCAACAAAACATTGGGCAAACGGGTGCCCAGTTGCTGTTTCACTTTCCATGGTTGGCTTCAACAGCCTGACGCAAGCAGACGCAAAACCAGTCGAAATGCTCTTGACTCTGGCATGGTCAACATGAGCACATGTTGCTGGCATGATTGACGTGCACAACGCATCAGCATTCAAGCGCACAGCCTAAGTTGCTAGAAGATCCAATTGCCCAATGGGTGACGCGCTGTCTTCTTTGCCACCGAGGCAAGCGTACAAATTATGGAGGCTCGACACCGCCCTGTATTGTATAGTTATTTTTTTCTGTGGCAAGTTTCAGTATGGTTTGCCCAAGATTAAGTTCCGCCCACCCAGACGCGAGCGCGCAACGAGTAGACTGAGTACATGATGATCGATTTGAGGAATTCTGTGACGAAGACAACAGCGAACTGTGTAATTCAGCTTTCTATGTTCCTCATGCTATCTTGAAACGGTTACTCACTCGAGTTCTGCTTTACCTGTGTTGCTGAGTGATCTTTGTTGCCAAGGATCGGAGTGTGCAACGCCTACATCGCGGACATCACAACTGAGGATGAACGCCCTGTGCGGATGGCACATGTGAACGGCAGCACCCTGGGCGCACAGACATCCTCCATCCCAAGAATTTGGTGTCTCGCTCTGAGATAGTCGAGTCATGTTGGCATCTTGACAGACCTGACAGGCATTGCTTTGGGCATCATGACTGGCCCCATGGTGGGCGGCCTCATCAGCGATCAAGGCTTTGCGTCTGCCTGCCGCTCCTTGGTTGGGGCTCTGGGGGCTGCAGCTTGCAAAATAAGCAAAAGAAGCACCAGAGAGTGCTATTGGAAGCTTAGGAGCGACTGGGCCCTTTCAAAGGCAAAGCTGGTAGCTTTGGTGCGCAGGCTCCCCTGATCTTTGCCTACCTACCGCTAAGTCGCGTTTCCCTACTGGGTCTCCTGGTCGTGCCCACCCCCTTTATCATTGAATCTCAGTTGAACATTCTCAGGCTGAGCAATGCAAGGACACATTGGGACGTTGGAGATCGTGCAAGAAGTCTCTGCTTTTGTTTCTGACTTTGGCATGTTGTGGCTTGTATTCATTTGTAACTATTCCTCAGCTGCCGACCACTTCGTTGAATTGCCCACTAGAGAATTCACGCCTTCAACCATGCCTCAGCATTGCCTTCCTGGTTTCCGCGGACGGCCCAGCTTGCGTCAACCTTTTCTGTCTACCCTGCCCTTCTCGTGCCCTACCCCTTTGCATTCTCTCCCCTTCCCTCCCCTTGCCTTCCTTCCCCTCCGTTCCCCTTCCCGCCCCGCCCCGCCCCTCCCCTCCCCGCCCTCCCTTCCTTCATTCCTTCCTTTCTTCCTTCCTTCTTTTCTTCCTTCCTTCCTTCCTTCCTTTCTTACTTCCACGCCGCGGCTTTGACATATGAGCCATGGTCAAGACTCCATGTGTGGGAATGATCCCGTTCGTTTCAGCGACATCGCCATCCTCATGAGTTGGAATTGTTGTTTGGTTGCTGGAGCCCAGGCATTTGCTCTCTCCTGGCTGCATCGAATTTGACCTTCACCTGCTTTTGCCTGAACACGCCCGTCATCAAGGCGCTGAGGTTGTGGCCCATGATCACTGCATCACATAATTGCAGAGCGAACTTGTTCATGAAGCCTCATGTCTACCTGTGGGGAATCAGCATGCTTCACCCTCTAGGTCTTATGATACACATGACTCACATGTTTGAGTTAGATTGTACATTAATGACGCAGCTACCCGCGAGAAACGCGAACCCTCATCAAGCCCAACAAGCACTTTGGATGCATGTCTCATTCAGGCACCGTTGCGGCCGCCCACGCCGAAGAATGGGGACAAGGCGGCGGAGTCGCCGAGTATGCCGGCGCTGGCCTGGGTGCTGCACCGCAGCAGCGTTTGGAGCGGACGTGTTTGGCCATGAAGGTTTGGACACCCAGAGACCTTAAGTCCGAAGACGGTGAAAGTCGACTCTGACGATGGTTGCGATCCAACCTACTCACATGGAAATCAAGACGAGCAAAGAGCTGTCATTGGGGGGCACAAAAAAATCACCATCAGACATCTACGGATTCGTGTCTATGCAGCAAGGCGCCATGTTGGTTCCACTCTTTTCTCATAAGTCCAGTGGGACTGGCTTTGTGCATGCCTTTGTGTGTTTGCGTTTCACCCACTGTTGCAAGACTATACTTGTCCCAACAAGCTGATCGGGAAGCTATCAAATCAATATTACCCCACCTCACAATTTGGCAGTTTCAGTATGGTGACTTGATCCAGAAGTGCTCGGATGCAATCCAGAGCAGGTGCTCCTTCCAGAGCGAAGCTCGAGCAGTCATCATTCGAGACTTGTTGCCCACACCACTTTTTGCTGCTGTTCCGAAACCTCAGGTGCGTTGGCGCTTTCCTTGGCGAGGCGAGGACGGGGCGACAGGGCTGTGATTCAAAGTCAAAGCAGCTGGTTGCGCAGGCGTTGCTGACCATGCGTCCCAAGCATGTAGAGAGCCCTTGACCCTTCTCCGCAAGCCTTGAGGCTGGTTGCACTGCACAATTGCTTCCCTGAACCTTGCTCGGCTTTGCAATCTCAACGAACCACTGACAGCTCGATGACTGTCTTGGCGTTCAGCTTGAGGGACATTCAGGCTGGGTGGCGAGAGTCATGACGAGGGCCCCGCGGCCTCGCGATAGCAGTGCCAGAAATCCATCCTGAGGCTGAGGATATTTGCGAGTGGGCACCATTCGAGGTGTCAGTCCAGTTCCTTCTTTCTTGCCCAACACACGGGAAGTCGAGCATGCCCCGCAAGAGAATTACTTTGCTGGTTGAGAAGCTTGCAATCTACAAAGCCAATCTGCCATCGTCAACAAGAAGACTGGGGTGAAAGGCACCTGGCTTTTCCTGTTCTGTCTCGCCCTGCCCCAGGCTGGAATGGCTGCCGCTTGGTCAAATGTGGGCACAGGGGTGGGGAGCAAGTGCGCTGTGATTGCTGTTTTGAAACATTGAAATATGTGTTGCGCAAAACTCAAGCCATGGGACAAATATGATTTCTTTCTCGACGATCGAAGCTACCTTTTGCTCAATGAGCTGCCATGTGTTGAATTGCGTTTTATATACATCCGCGTTACAGGACTGACTCCTGTTGTTTTTGTGCCTTCTACTACGGCACATGACCGCGAGTTGAGCCTGACAACTGAGTCATGTTGGATTTGTGGAGCGCTAAAGAACACAATTCACTGCTTCCAAGTACAGGTGCACCAACACATGAACAGGTCCGTTTGATGCAACGAACGCAGCAATGCCACCTCCAACTGGGAATCTCTCAAAATGGTGATCAAGCCTGGAAATCGAAACATATCCATCCATTGCAAAGGAACCAACCCACATATGTAGAACATATTTGAGACAGAAACAACATCAATTAGTTGGATTGGCGCTTGGGACTGCCACAACCAGTTCAACGATTCTACGAGACTACTTCTGGGCAGTCAAAGACAGCTATTGTGGTTTTCCTTGCCCCACCGACAGTGGAAGCCATTGGCCGGGCAATAGTGAGTAGCGATTTGGCGCATGTGTCTTCCTTGCCAGGCCAGGAATTGATTGGGGCATGTATCCGTCAAGGAAGTGAGTCAGCATCAACTGCCGTCATCCCATTTTACCTGGTCTAGAGTAAACTGCTTGCAGCATGCCACAGCTGTTTGCTTTGGTATTGCGTGCGCAATATTGAAGATACGTTTGTTGTATTAGCATCGCACGCAAGTGCCAGATGAATACGAAGTTGCAATCAAGCAGTGGACACCTCTTGCCAAGGCCCGCCTACGCAAAGATGAGTTCGATGCTCTGTGTCGTTGTCCTTGTGAACTTATTTGCTGTCAATTCATGTCAGATTCAGGTGGTTCAAGGCTGTGGTTGTTGGAGCTGCACCCAAAGTGTTTGCATGTGCTTAAACGAATCAATCTAAAAGTGCAACCTTTCCAGCTGTAAGTCTGTAAGGCCTTGTGTTCTGCTTTCAAGACACGCTGTGCTTTTTTGAATTTGTGCTGTGCCAAGTTGTCATTTCAGCGGGTGAATTGACCTTCAGGCCTGGGAAAGTTGCGCCGCTCTCTATCTTATGGACCGCGCTTTAGCAGCACTGGGAGCTGTAGGGGCGGGAGACGTGTATGAATCCCTGAAGGACCTGCATACTCGCGAAAGGTCCAGGAATAAGACCGTGTAAACTCTAGGCTCTTTCGGGCAAATGATCTCGGAACTGTTCAGACTCAGGTTCGGTTCACTGCACTTTTCTTGGACCAAAGGGATCTCGGATTCGAGTATCCTTTCAAATGCAACCACATAGCTTGACTGCAACATGCTCCCTGTGTTATGTGGCCTCATGTGCTGGTTCGCAGATCACATCGATTATCGGATGAGCAGCCATGACTGTCGGATGATTAAAGAATCAAAGGAAGGAAGCACACCGCTTATACAGAAAAGCTGGGACATCGAAAGATCAAGATGATCAAGTTTGTTGGAGTAGAGACTATTTTCACTGCAATCATTGCACACAAAGGTTTGAGAGAACTCTGAAGGATTGCTTTGGATGGTCTAAGCTTCCCCATCTCATGTCAATATGTCCGGTACATGTCTCGCCTCACGTTGGGATGTGGCATCTCCCATCCCAAATCAGGCGCCGTGGACCAACCGAGGCTACTTTTGGGCATACCCCGCGCCAGCGACCTCCAGCTCCCAGTTCTTCGCGGGCAGTGGCCAGGGCTGCACTTAGGGTTCGAAAAAGGATTCGGGATATATGTATATGCGTAGATAGAGTAAACAGAGAGCTAAAATTCCAGAAATGCGAGTGTGTATAGTTGTTATTATCATCAGTATCATCATTATCAGTGTACTTATTGCCAGTGTTAGTGTTAGCTATTAATATTTTACTACTATGATTATGATTATCAATCAGTGTTTTGTTGCTAAATACTCATGATTTATAACCATGATGAATATCTTCATCAGCATCATCATTATGAGTACTATAGTTAGTATTTGTTAGGATGTTTGCTGCTTATTACAGTTACACATCATCATCATCATCATCATCATCATCATCATCATCATCATCATCATCATCATCATCATCAGCAGCAGCAGCAGCAGCAGCAGCAGTATCATCATTATCATTGTTATTATTATGATTGTTGTTATTAGCATGTTGTTATTGTCAGTATTATTATCGTTATAGCGATTCTTGTTATAAATCATCATGATGAATTGATAATTGTTACCAACAGTTGTATCATTATTATTAGTGTTATGATTGTTATGGTGATTATTATCATTATTGTTATTGGTATTAATAGTGTTATTTGCTATTTCTATTGCTACTCTCAATATCATCGCTGGTAGGACCATTATCGTTCTTGTTATGCAGAAATTGATATAGAGGGCCCTACGCGTGTTGCTCTTGTAGCAAGTGTCAGCAGCTGACAGCATGTATCTTGGTGGGGCATCCCAAGCACATGCTTGGCAAAAAGTTGAAACAGCATGAAACAGCTTGAACCACCGCTCAAGGCTCAGGAAGTCTTGCATCAAGCACACTGGAATTTTACTTAGACAACGATTGCGCTTTGGAGGTTTCAGATTGCTGACCCGACCACCAGTATGTATCTCAGGTTCCTCAAGAAAACATACGTGGCATTATGTGGGTGAAATTATCTGAGCCATTCCCATGAATTAATTGTAGTACACTAACACAGTGTTTTGACGGGCCTGGACCGATGTTGCAGTCACCGCCGGCTGCACTTTTCTGTTTGTTCTCTTGAAGGGCTTCATCCCCGCATTGCACCCAGCCAGCTGGGCTCACGAGGCACGCGAGACAGAGACACAGAAGCACAGCGAAGCAGGAAAACAGAGACGCAGGAAAAGTGAGATAGAGACACAGAACATATTCCTTGGCAATTGGCCCAAGCCATGTTGGAAAGCGAGGATGTATAGCTAGTGCAAAACGTGAGCGCGCCAAGAGCCCAAAGCAGGTTACGCGACACGCGCACTCGCCCTGAACATCCCAGATGCCTTGCTGGAGATGGCTCAGGGCAACTGCCGAAGCAGAGTAGGTCCTTGGCACTTGCTGCACGCACCCCTCTAGGCATAATCCTGATTTGCAGTGCAAACCCAGGGAGGCGAACGTGACAGGTTTTGGCGCTTCCTCTTTTTTGGCACGGTTGCGGCGGCCTTCAGCTTTGAAAAGAGTTCCAGAGGAAGACTTGTGCCCAGAAGAACGCTAGCTATCTACCACTCGACCTAGTGTTGGTGGACTCCAAATTTGCTTACGAGTAGAATGATTGGTCAGATGTACTCTTGTCCAAAAGGCAACTTCCCACCCCTAACTGGGGATGAGATTGGGAGTTAGGTATGGCCGCTACTGGCGTGACAGTGATCTTCGTCACCGTCTTCCTCTTCCCGTGCATGAACGCCTACTTCAAGCAGTGGCAAACAGGGCTGCATTGGGCTGCATTGTGTCGAAACCTGTGGCAAGTCGAAGCAAATCAAGGCAGTCGGAGCTACTACCCCTGGACACAGCCAGCAGAGTGTGTTTGGTTGTTTAAACGGCCTGATTCTTTCGGCAAGTAAAGTCAGGCGCGTTGTTCGCCCATAGGCACAACACATGTTCCAAGAAAGTGCAACGGTGTACTGCATCGCGCGAACTAAATGGCCCAAATCTCTTCTCGAAGCAAGCAATCCAGTGTAGTGTGTGGGTCCTGGCATACATCTTACAGCATGGTTCAAAGGATTAAACGCAAACTAAACGTGGACATCGACTTTATCCCATAGGCACGAAACGCATTTCAACAAGTTGATGTGCCTAGCCCGCCCGACTGTACTTGCAGGGTTTCAAGCAAAGGGCTAGGCCAGGGTCTTGTTTATTCCTGGGAATTGCCTCGTGCTGATTATTTTATGCTTTGTGTACAGTGAACTGTTTCTCAAAGGGCAGTGGGTAAGCTTTACTTTGAGAGGTCTTTGAGCATTCGCGCGCGGTTTCACCGACATCGGATGGTTGGATCCGATGTCACTGTGTCAATACGTAGGAGATAGACAACACCCACCTATGGTTTACGCTGAATCGGCTCGTTCATCATTTTGATTGTCGCTCATTTTTTGCGCTTTAGATCTGTGGGAAGGCAGGACTGGCGAAGCGCAATGGCCCTTCAGAAAGTTAGCCTGCTCTTCAACTGCGTTCCCGTGTGTTTGTTTGTGTTGCTTGTGTCTCTGTTTGTTTGTGTGTCTTTGCGCATTGGTTTGTGCATGTCTGTCTGTGAGCGCGTCTCTATGTGTCTCTCTCTCTTTGTGTGTCTTTGAAACTGTCTTTGTGTGTGTATGATTTTTGTGTTGTGTGTGTGTCTTTGTTGGCGCATGGGTCTCTATGTGTCTTTGCGTACATGTGTGTGTGTGTATGTGTATGTGCGTGTCTTGGCTTGTGAGTGGCTTTGTGTGTCTTTGCGCGCGCTCGTTTGTGTGTGTGTCTCTTTGTCGCTGCTTGTGTAGCGCCGTGTGTGTGTGTGTGCGTGTTGCAAGCCAAAGTCCTTTCTACCAAACATGAGGTCTTGGCCGTTTCAATTTCAAGAGTGTCGCAGGTATACAGTCTGCATTGGACGCTTGGCTGCAGTCAGCTGTCGTGCTTTAGTGGCGAACGCGATTAAGTAGGCAAGCAGTTGTTGGGGCGGCTGTCGCGTGCAAGCGGATGATCCAACACTGGATGAATTTTCGCTTTGTTTCAGTGTCGCACACCTACACGTCGCAAGACCTGGCATCGCGATGGACCTTGCAAGCTTGGTGTGTAAGATTTTCCATGGACAGTTTGATGTCAAGGCTACTGCGCATGGCTTTTGCCTAGTGCCCAAACACTGGATCTCATTGCTCAGGCACAACGGTGCGCATTACGGGCTTCGTGTGTTTGGCCGTGGCCCCCACCAAGTGGATCTTCCTCATGGGGCAAGGCCCGGACAGAAACCTGCCGATCGGAATCCAAAGGTTGTTTCATCGCGCACGAAATGGCCAGATTTTCAATTAGAAACTGCCTTTGCTTAGTGGCAAGCGCTCCCAAGTTGCCTGATGGCGCCCTCAAAGGCATTTACTGTACTGGGCTGTAACGGAAGACGTAGCGCATCGCAGACGCATTACACCCAGTGTTTCGTGGCTCTTTGCACAAACTGCTTTTGTTCTATCTTGCTCAGCTTGACTCGCAAGGATAGTCCTGGCTACCACCCACCTGTTTTTGGGGAGTCATTACAGAGGAGAGAACCTAAGTAGCAAACCCAAACAGGAGACAGGTAGCAAGACACCATAATTGGACCATAATGGTTTAGACGACTCATGGAATAATTGGTTCTTAGGACTGTTTGAAGTGCTACAGCGTTGTTGTTTGTCAACAGTTCGAGGACGGTGTTTCTGGAGACGAAATTCGAGGTAGTTGAGTACTGAGCTTGTGCAGGAGACGGTAACGCTTCCCCCATACGCTCGACGATGATAGCATGAAAGGTGGAATCCGCAGCGCCGCAACATGAAGCATGTCGACTTACACGCTAGGTAAAACAAAGACGCGAACAGGCTACCTTGCCTGCATAAATATGTTGCCAAAGCAGCAGTTCCGGTGATATTACGTACTGATATCACCCAAGGCATTTTTGCCTCCGATCGGCTTGCGTACCAGCCGGTCCGTGGCAGCTTTGCCCAGAAAGGGAAAGCCCATTGAGATCAAGTCCGCCTCCTGCAAGTCCAAAGCAGACCCAGCCGCCTGTAACCTACTCAATGCGTGTTCGATGTACCATCCAAAATGCCAATCCAAATTGACCGCATGTCCAAACGCACGCGTTTGTTTTTGAATCCACGGCATGCCCAGCTTGCACCCGAAGGTATGATCTGCATTGGAGACGCTTGGTCGAAGACGACGAGCATGGCTACACAAGGGCTGGGCACTGTTGTGGGGGCCTGCTCTCATAAGACTCAGAAGAGCTTCTTCTTGTACCGCATAATTGATATGCTCAGGCAGTGGTAGTTGTGGAACGAGTGTGTTTCAAGCCTCGGTCACTGTTTCCTTTCTCAGCCCTTGGGTTTTGCGCTGTGTCATTTGGGAGGCCAGGCGCAGCCTGCAACTTGTTTTTCGTTTTGGAATATTCTAAAGCTGATCCTAAATGCTAAGTGTGCCTTGTGGTCCGAACTGCATTTTGACACATTCCCAGATGCGGCTTTGTGAGCAACTCATTGGATTTGCCATGGAGGGAAACAAGGTGCGTGCTCGAGCTGCGGCTAAGGACAACCTGGGTGGCCCCAATCAGTCATCCCTGCTGACAGAAGTGGCTGGACCATCTGCGTATGGCACATGCCTAGGCGCGAGACACATACCTTGTGCGGCTAGAAGGAAGCACAAGGCTGAGGGATCAGCATGTTACAGCAACATGATAGTTTGGAGTCCGGAGCATGCTTGTCTTTTCCCTTCTCTCTCTCTCTCTCTTTGCCTCTCTCTCTCTCTTTCTTCTGTCTCTCTCTCTCTCTCGCTCTCTCGCTCTCTCTCGTTCTCTCTCTCTCTCTTTCTTTTCCACCAAGTCCGCTCGTGACTCTGTGCGCTCCAGCATTGCCATAGCGCCTCGACTGTCATGCAATCTGTGCCTGACTCTGCACAAGTGCCGCGTCTGCCACAAAATCTTCACCTCAGGCTGCCAAAGTGTTGCGCCTGTCACAAAATCTGAGCACCAATCCAACAAAAAAGTGCTGCGCCTGCCACGCAATCAGTTTGCCGAGGTGCTGCGCTTGTCACGCGAACCGATGTCACGAAAAGCGAGCGCGCGTCCGTGACCTTTTCAGCAGGAGAAGCCAAAACCCGCAGAGGGTTGCTCTTATTCGCGGTATCTGCGACACTTGTCGCGCATGCGTTCATTCTTTCTTCGTCTTGTCTTTGCGCAGAGTTTCCTTTCAACCAGAGTCCCCAACACGAGTGTTCCTTCCAAGCTTCCTTTTATCAGCTTTAGCTGTCTATCTATTTATCTATGTATGTATCTATCTATCTATCTATCTATCTATCTATCTATCTGTCTATCTATCTATCTGTATATCTGTATATCTACCTATCTACCTATCTACCTATCTACCTATCGGTATGGTTGCATGTCTACCCATCTACAATTAAATTATTTGTCTATTATCCACCTTTCTATCCATCTACCTTTGGATCTATCTGTCTACCCATCTATCCATCTATATCTATCCATCCATTTATCGACCTATCAGCCTTGTCCATCTATGTGTCTATTGATCAACCTATCAATCTACCTAGATCTTGCTGACATATCTACCAAAGGACAAATATATATATATATATGTATGTATGTATAATTGTTTATCTCTTTTTCACCTATCCAGCAGGACTCTTTGCACTGACTTAACGCGCAGCGCGCCTGCCACGAAATCTGTACCTGACCTCGCGAAAGTGCTGCGCCTGCCACGAAATCGTTGCGGAAGCGCGGCGCGTGTCACGAAATCTGTACCCGACCTTTTGCGCAAGCTCTGAGGTTGCCCAAAAAATTGCCCGCACGTGCCAGCCGCATGTCGGACGTCCGTGCCAATGGGCCGCAACAGAAGCCAAAACCCGCAGAAAGGTTTTTCCTGCATGTTTTCTCGCACGCGCTCGTTTTGAAGTTGGCTTGTCTTTGCGCAGAGCTACCTTTCAACCAGTGTCCGCAACACGGAAGTTCTTTGTAAATTTCCTTTGATAGTCAAGGCATGCGCGGCTTGCAATATTCCAGGCGCCCGGCATTGGCGCAGCTTGCGTTTGGGGGATGCAAAGGCATCACCTGTAGCAGTCAAATGAGAGGCCAGGCTTGGGCAGGCATGGTGGGGGAGCATTGTTTGATCACAGTGTCACGTGTTGCACGCTGATGCTATTTTGGCTGCAAGCCAAAATCGCAAGGCATCAGCGTCCAGATTTGCGTTTTAACTACAGGAGCAGAGAACGGGCCAACAGCAGACACAGTAGGAGCCACAACTACGGGAGCAGGAACAGAACAAGACAACGACGTTCAGAGACTACATAGATACAAACTGCCACCACCCTTCTTCACTGGTGCCTACTCCCAGTATGAAGAATGGCTGTTCAAGCTACAAGCATACCTCGGCCTCATAGACCGAGACTTCGACCTGGTGCTACAACTAGCACAAGTGGCTACACGACAGATTGAGGACACAGACATCAGAACACACATACTCGACCCTACACAAGCAAGCAAAGCAGTAGACCTCTCCAGAGATCTACACTACATCCTCATCAACATCTGTCAGGGAGCAGCAGCTACAGTAGTAAGGCAAAACCGCTACAACGCAAACGGATGTGAAACACTACGACTACTACACAACAGGTTCAGCCTACCAGTAGGAACAAGAAGCGTTGGCTACCTTACCAAACTACTGGAACCTACATTCAACGAAGCGCAGTTTGAAGAACAATTTCTACGATGGGAATACGACATCAACCGCTACGAGGAAGACAATGGAACAGCACTACCAGATGGAATCAAAATAGCAATACTACTCAACACAACCAAAGGAGCACTGCAGCAACACCTCCAACTGCGAGCTGGACAGATCACGAACTACATCGAGATCAGAGCACTCATCTTGGACTACTACAAGACGATTTCAGCCTTCACTAGATCTACTTCAGCAGTAGGAACAAACTACAATGGAGGAGCTGCACCAATGGATGTTGACAACATATGGAGGAAAGGAAGAAACTACAAAGGCAAAGGAAAAGGAAAAGGCAACTACAAAGGAAGCAAAAGCAAAGGCAAATATAGGAGTAAAGGACACTACAAAGGATTCGACAAAGGCAGCAAAGGAAACTGCAACAAAGGAGGATACAACAAGAGCAAAGGAAAAGGCTACTCAGGATCCAAAGGATATGGATCAAGCAAAGGCTACAAAGGCCAAGGAAACTACAGCAAATCAAAAGGAAAAGGAAACAACAACTACACAACATGCCATCAATGTGGCAAGCCTGGCCACTGGGCACAAGACTGCAGAGTGCCAGTATGGCACATAGGAGAACGAGAAGAACTACATCCACTAGAACATAAAAAAAGCAGATCATGACAAACAATGAAGAACTATCTCAGGATGTGAACGACACTTGGGACTGGTACTACGAAGCAGAAGAAGGACAACACGAGGTGAACTACATGGAGGAGAACTGGAACAACTACGACTATGACAACAGCTGGGATTGGAATGGCAACAGCTATGAGGACACAGCAAACTACATTGGAGGCATCAACGAGTCACACCTTACCATTGGACACATCAGACAAGCAAACTCACGACTACACAAGCACAAATCCAAATCACTACTTGGCAAGAGAACAACACACACAACATCACGGAACGACCACAGCAAGAGCTTTCAACAATTCCTACAAGAAGACACCACACAGCTACACTTCGACATAGCAGCAGCAAGACAACAACAAAGGAACAAGAAGATTGAGGACATTGTCACACACTACATCATGTACTCCAACCTCAAGTCATACGGCATCAAGTACGTTCCCTACAAGCAGGACAACTTCAGGATCATGATACCCTACTACGTTTGTGATGTGAAGTATCCAACCCTCAGTGCATCAAGACTACTTGATAGAGGATATGGACTTGACTTCACTCCACGACACGGCACCATCACACATGGACAACAACAAGCACACCTCATAAGACACTCAGGACTTTTCTACCTACGAGCAGAGAAGATCGACATCCCTACAGGATTCGACATCTACCCAATGACTGCAGACAATGGAAAATCCATTGCTGTGATTCAACCTACAGAGAAAGCAGTACAACAACAAGAACAAATTGCACCACTCACCCACACAGACCAAGGACTATGACAGATCCTTGGTGGAAACACTGACTACTGGAAACTTGATGGTGGCTACGCCATCAGAGCACACAAACGACCACGCAAAGCATTGTTCACACCACACAACAGCGGTTGCCCAATACCTGGAGGAGAACTAGATGATTGGCGACTAACCGTCATCAACAGACAAGGGCAAGAGCAAGAACATCTACAAGAGAACCCAACACAACTTTCCAAGCAAGAACTACAACGAAGACTAGAAGGTGACAACTGGACTGGAGAAACCAGATTCAGAAGAAAGATAACACCTACACGCAGAGCAACATCAAAGACCACACCAACAAGGCAGAGCTCACAACCACAACGGCTAATGGACACACCACCAACCAGATCAAAGATCCAACTACGAGCACCACGAAAGATATGGAGACCTAAAGCAGCACCTTCTACAAATCTTGACACCACACAACCAAAGGAGACAATCCACAGACCACTCACAGCACAGGAGGACAACCAAGACTACTGGGAAAGACAAGGTGAATACTGGATAAGACACCACACAACACTTAGAACAACCCTATTCACTCCAACAGATGGACCAGGACATCCACGAATCAGCACACTTGAGCCTCACAGAACTACAATCACTCACAACAACTTTGGAGAAGTTTCACAACGCTAAGATGACTGGACAGTCATGGGCAACGCAGCACTACCATTTCAATGGAAAGGAACAACAAGGTTCACCACATGAAGAAAGACTACGAGTACATCCAGGAGAACCACGATGAGGGACAGCAACACGAGCATCATGAAGCACACAGAGCAAGAGGATTACGACAACCACAGCAGCCCACTCCACAACAAATAGCAGAACACAACTTGACACACCTACCATACAGAAACTGGTGTCCAATTTGCGTTCAAGGCAAAGGATGCCAAGACAACTACAAGAAACAACAAGCACGACAACCCGTCAGTCAAGTAGACTTCGCCTACATCAAATCACAACAAGACCCAAAGACCATACCAGTACTGACAGCAGTTGATGTTACTACACAACTGTGTGTGGCAGTAATGGTCCCGGACAAACCATCAATGATGGACTACATGGTCAACAACCTACAAGCATTCATCTTTGAGTGCGGAAGAACACAAGGCATACTACAAAGCGACAACGAAGACACACTCAACGCACTTCTAAAAGCTACAGCAGCAAAAGTCGGCTCAATGACTGTACGACACTCACCGTCTGACAGCAGCAACAGTCAAGGAAGCGTTGAGCGACTACATAGAACACTCCTCGGACAAATCCGCGTTGTCAAAGCTCAGGTTGAAAGCAACTACAGCATGACGATGTCCACAAAGCACTGTCTACTACCTTGGATAGTACGACATGCAGCATGGACGGTAAATCGCTACGTCATCCACTCAGACGGCTACACAAGCTTTGAACGCCGCTGGGGAAGAAACTACGAGCGAGCAATCTGCGAATTTGGCGAGACACTACTTTACCTTCCACCAAAAGCAGACCTACGGATGCAGAAATGCATCTGGCTCGGAAAAGTTTCCGAAACCGGAGAAAACTACGTCGCAACGGAATCAGGCGTACAAAAGTTACGAACAGTACGGAGACTACAACCGGACTTCAAATACGACCTCGCACTGTTGAACAAAGTTTCCGGCACACCATGGGCACCACGACGGAACACCTACAACCCATCGTTCGCAACACTGTTGGATACGCAACTACAACCGTCAGAGAAAAGAAGGTCCACGCAAGATTTCGGACAACAAACGAACGCTACGGACGACATCGTTGCGGAACCCGCAACAAAACAACAACGCACTACACCACCTCCACGACTTCCGTCTACATCGACGTCAAGTTCACGACCACTACCGGATAGTCCTATGGCTACTTCACCAACCGGACGACAACATCCACCACTACCAGCACCACCTCGACAAACACTACGACGTTTAACTCCGGAAGAAGTAATGCAACCAACTAAAGCACAGAAGACCTCAAAGGACACTACAATCAGATCAACGGAGCAAGCAACCAAAGAACCACCACCACTACGACAGAAAATCAACGCAGTGACACTTCCCAACGGAAAATCCATCACCCCCTACACAAACGACGACACCTCAGAAGACCAACCCATAATCTTCGACAACGAAGGTTACGACGAAACACAACTACTGGAAGGAATGAAACACGAGTCAAACCAAATGAAGCTACATGACGTCTACGACGAAGTAGATGCGTCTACCGTCGACGACAACGTCATCAGAGAAGCGATACCTACAAGATGGGTACATAGAAAGAAAGGACCAGGAGTACGAAGCCGAATCGTCGCAAAAGGCTACACAGAGAAGATCGAGGACGAAGACTCCGTCTACGCCTCTACACCAATGTTCACGACACTCCGGACACTTCTCGCACTACAAATGTCACGACCAAACTGGATCGCGCGACTAGGTGACGTCTCTACAGCATTTCTACACGCACCCATCGCAAAAGACCACGACGGTAAACAACGTGACGTCTACCTTTGGCCACCTAAAAAACTTTGTCCACAACAGGACAAAATCTGGCGACTAAAGAAAGCCATGTGTGGACTACGCAGTTCACCAAAAGCATGGCAGGACTACCTGGCTGAAGTGTTACAAAAGCTCAGCTTTGTAAGACTAAAGTCAGAACCTAACGTCTACACCAATGCGACCCGCGACTGCTACATCATGGTCTACGTGGACGATCTACTAGTACTTGGAGACAAGACTGCGGTCGACTCCACTTTCGAGGCCGTCCAGAAGGAGGTCCTACTCAAGCACAGCGGCTACCTCGAACCTGGCAAACCACAACAATTTCTTGGAAGAAACATCGACCACTTTGGCAACTACTGCAATCTTGGACTAAAGGACTCCTACATCGACAACATGATCGAGGAGTCTGGAATGAACAACTGCAACTCAGTGACACTCCAGGAATTGCACACTACAAACCAACAATAGAAGATGAAGCGCTACTTGACCACGAACAACACAAAAGGTACAGAAGGATTGTTGGCAAACTTCGATGGTTAGCATACACACGACCAGACATTGCATACTCCACAAAAGAACTAGCACGAGACCTCACAGCACCTACAGAACTTTCACAAAAGAGAGTCAAACATCTACTACGCTACTTGCACGGCACCAAGCACTACAAATTCACCATAGAACCAACAACAACACTCAGAGCAAACACCAACAACATCCTGGATCTCGACGTTCATGTCGATGCCGACTGGGCAGGATGCCCTACTACCAGGAAATCAACTTCAGGTTTCAACATCATCTTTTTAGGAACAACAGTTGCATTTGGCAGCAGAACACAAGCTACAATAGCACTCAGCTCAGCAGAGTCTGAACTCTACGCCATTTGCACAGGAGTTAATGAGGGACTACACCTCAGAAACTTCCTACTTGAAACCAACATTTGCAGCAAGCTAAACCTACGCATCCACACAGACTCCACAGCAGGCAAGAGCATTGCTACACGACAAGGCACTAGCAAACGAGCAAAACACATCGACCTCAAATTTCTCTACACACAAGACCTCATCAAGCACGACATCATTAGAATCCTTAAGATCAACACACTTCACAACAGCGCAGATTTGTTTACCAAATACATCAGCAAAGAAACAACACAGGCTCATCCAGAGCAACGCAAGCACTACGAACGACCAGCAGCACAAACAACAACAACAACAACAACAACAACAACAACAACAACAACAACAACGACAACGACAACGACAACGACAACGACAACGACAACGACAACGACAACGACAACGACAACGAACGACAACGACAACGACAACGACAACGACAACGACAACGACAACGACAACGACAACGACAACGACAACGACACGACAACGACACAACGACAACGACAACGACAACAACAACAACAACAACAACAACAACAACAACAACAACAACAACAACAACAACAACAACAACACAACCACAACAACAACAACAACAACAACAACAACAACAACAACAACAACAACAACAACAACAACAACAACAACAACAACAACAACAACAACAACAACAACAACAACAACAACAACAACAACAACAACAACAACAACAACAACAACAACAACAACAACAACAACAACAACAATTATATAGTGTTTCCGAGCATTCGGCTGCAGCTTTAAGCGCAGCAGGGGGGCCCAGTCCTCACGAGGGTAACATCCCAGTCAGCTCAGGAGCAGCCGTCGCCGTGTCAACCGCATCAAGCACAACACTTGCTGAGACCACGAAAGAGAAGCCATCCGTTTTCGGTAACCCTTGCCAGCTTCAGGGGGGGCGATGAACGCCCTCCGTTTACCGTTGGCAACAAGCGTGCTCGCAAGCGCCTAGCGTGTGATGCTGTTGGCCCGATGTAAGCAAAAGTACCAACTAAATTTAACGAGAGGGAGAGAGAGAGAGAGAGAGAGAGAGAGAGAGAGAGAGAGAGAGAGAGAGAGAGAGAGAGAGAGAGAGAGAGAGAGGGGGTGAGACACCACAAACATGGACACAGACGTGCACACACACAAGCGCGAAGCAAAGCTTGGATCACCCACCCCGATGGGTCACTTTCGCGCCAGAGGAATGAGGTTTGCTCCCAAACGTTGGCTTTCTTATGCCCCTAGCAAGCAAGACCTACAGAACATTGCACTGCGCAGCCCTAGCGAAGGATCACTTGCACCCCCGCCATCAACAGAACAGGGCACACGTCAAGCTCCAAACGACCAACTGCAGACCCCCATCTGATAGAAGTTCTACGAAAGAAATCTGCAGTGTTGTTGGGGTCTGTGCGGGTCTATGCCCTTACGCGATGCGGAGATTACTTGTGCCACCTTCCTTCTCCCTTTGAACATGTGTTAGTCGAGTTTGCTTGCGGCACTTGTTCTGCATGAGGCGGGCGCATGCTACCAATCAAGTGGACCACTTGCGCCCTCTCCATGTTTCCCTCAACATTCATCAGTCTACTTTCACCCTACTTCACCCAGGCCTGGAAAAAGTCGCATAGATGACAACTTCAGACATCGATCCACGCCCATCACGTACACATACCCGTTTAGCCCCCACGCTCACACCCACACCCACACGCTGGCACGCGCGCTCAAGCTCACCCGCACTCCTAGTTTACACCCGCAGGCACACACGCACGACCAGGGACTGACATGATACTGGCAAGACCGGTAAGATTGTTATTTTGGGGTATTCTAGGGGTCATGATTTGTGGCAAAATGCCGACAGGTGCCCAGTCCGCCTTCCAAGCCATGGCCCGAGTCTTTGGCCCTATCATCTTCGCCTCCCTCTACGAGGCTGGGCGAACAGATGGCGCCAGCAGGGTTACTGCTGAAAGCAATTGAGGTTGCCAACGATTTGTGTTTACACGAGCTGCGCTCGCGCGTGCTGGCGGGTTCTTCCACCATTCCAACCAAACAAGCAACTCACTGCAGGCCACAAAACCGACTATCTGCAATTGCACCTGACCAGCACATGCTGGTCATTGAAAGTGGTGTGTCAGACCTCTGTGCCGTGTATCAAGCTTTGAAGGCATTACTTCTCACAGAAGCTTGAGGGGCATTCTCAGAACTTGAAGGCATTAGGGCTCAGCCATTCCTCTTACTTACCCTTGAGACTAGAAAGATTCCGTTGAAGATCCAAACTTTGTTGTGCCGTGCGAGCCGTGTGTTCTTCGGCGCGCCATGGCCCTCCTCGGAATTACAACCATCAAATACATTTCTTACCTGCAGGGGTCCAATGAGGAATGACAATGCTGTCCCAAATTGCTAGGCTTTGTCACCCACGGGTCGGTTGCTTTTTTTATACTTGTTGTTTGAAAGTGGGCGGGTGCCAAGGGTTACCCTGTGGCTGTGGGTGGGTTGGCT